AGCCCCCCCCCCCCCGGCAAATCAGGTAAGAGCCGTCGCTTCACTTTTGGAGGCCCCCACCCCCACTCTGGGACACCTTTTATTTTTGACCCCGCTTCATTCCTAGTTGTTAGTTTTTTTCCTTTCCAATACTTTGGGCCCTTGAATATCCAAGGTCCAGGGGTGGACTGGGGAGTTCAAACGGCCCGGGAAAAATCAAAGCGGCCGGGGAAAAAAAAACACCAAAAAGCGGCCCTACCTTCATGACTTTTATCCTTCATGACTTTTATTTTTATCATATCACCGGTCCTAGCGGCCCATCGGGAATCTTCCCGGTGTCCCGGCGGCCCAGTCCACCCCTGCCAAGGCCTACTGCAGCCGCCGAGTATAAATCAGGGTACTTGTATTTTTTGCACGCCAACGACAGCAGACAAACACTACCAATAAAACAGGTCTTCGTCAGTTAAACGGGCACCAACATATTCTAAACAGCGATTTTGTTATGTATCCTACAGGTGTACAGTTGATCATTTGTGGTTTTTTAATCGTCCATGAAGAAGTAGGGAGTAGGGACATTCCCTTCTGTCATGTTTCTCAGCATAGAAACCAATGAAAAGAAAAAAATGTCCCCGTTGAAAAATCCTGTCACTGGGTGTATTGTGACACACATAAATAGCGTGTGATGAACATAATATTTCTATGACGTCGATCGAGGTTCTTTTGAGGTCGCTGGTGTATTAAAATAGGGTGGAGGGGGTGGTTTGCTACGGTGGCACTTTGGATGGGTGGGGGTGGGGGGTTTGGTCCTCTTCATATATTCTATTTAATATATGGCATATGTTTGATGTGTATTCTTATGTTTGATGACCGTGTATTTTGTATGTTTGATGTGTATTCTAATGTTTGATTTGTATTTTTCATGTTTGTTGTGTATTATGTATGTTTGATGTGTACTCTAATGTTTGTTGTGCATTCTAATATTTGATGTTTATTCCATTTGTTGTGTATCATGTATGTTCGATTTGCATTCTTATGTTTGATGTCTATTCTGTATGATTTTGTTCTTCGTGAGGGATCGGTGGCAATCTAACAAAAGCACCACGTGGGACGTCATGAACCAATCAAACTACAGAATACACACCACACGTGAACCAAATATAATGGTTTGCGTCTTCGCAAGATTTCTTTTCATTCCGGTTCACCTTTCAAAAAAAAAAAAAAAGAATTAACAGATTTCTTTTCATTGCAGTAGAACAAAAATGTCAATCGAATAAAAATTACATTACCAATTGTTGCACGGCACGAAGGGTTGACCACCTCTTCCGCCCCTTCTTCCTACGCCATTGCATCCATCTGTGCCGGAAAAGTCCACGTTCAAACTTTTTTAAGTTCTTGGTTGACATTTAAAAAAAAAAAAACAACAACATTAATTAGCTTTATTTTAAAAAAATGTTATCCTTAATGTTAACTTTCTCAAGAAAAAATTATTTGTAATGTCTTATATACTTCAATGTAACACAAAGACTAAGTTTTCAATCGTTCGACTTCTCCCAGGAGTACCTAAGTTAAATTGGTGACAAAAACTCGGTCTTAATTGCGTCATGGTCATGACTAACTAAACCTATTAGTTTCGATGCATTTTTAAGATCAGCCGAATAGCTTGAGTCTAATGGTACCCGGGTGCGAATGGCGGCGCTGCGTGCCTGGGTCCATTTTGACTCAGTGCTATCCCGATGTCATTTGTGGTAGTTTTAGTTAAACTGAAGAATTAAGTTTACAAACTTCGATTATCTTTCATTTGACACCTCATTTTGTCTTACAAACCCAACAATAAAATTTTAAACCGTTTTTTAATCCCAACCTCTCACTTCTGGTACCCGGGTCCGAATAGCAGCAGCCTTTGAGAAACGCTGCATTCAATGACGTAGGAAGGAGGTGGGGAAAAGGAAGAAGCTGTCTGGAAGACCTTGGAATAAAAAAGGGGCATTGGGTAGGAAGTAATAATGTTGTATCAAATACAGAAACTTGACTCTTAAGGTTAATCCTGGTGATGTTGGGTGTCATTAACCAAACCCTTAGTCGAAAAAGACATATTTAATTTTTGATGTTATTGAATATGATCAACAAAACCTCCATCGTTGAAAAAAAAAACTATTATCTTTTTGATGTTGTTGAATATGATCAACCAACCTCCTAGTTGAAAAAAAATAATTTAGTTTTTGATGCTTTTGGATGTGATCAATCAACCCCCTAGCTGAAAAAAAAAACCCCATATTTTATTTTTCATGTTGTTGAATGTGAACAACCAAGCCCCTATTTGAAAAAAAAATAATAATTAATTTTGATATGTCGTCTTAAATAAGGGAACTTCTAGAAAATCCTTTAGGTCTAAATATTTTTTTTTCCTTCAAACAATCAAGAAGTATTTGTAAAGGTATCTACACGGCTTGGTTGCTGTAAAAAAAAAAATAATAATAATTTTTAAATGACGTCATACTCATAGTAAAAAAAATCTTCCAGGGCAACTAACAAACACAATACTGCTTCTGTCTACCACCTGTTGGGACGTGTTATGATTGGTTCATAAGACTATTGCCTTTTAGTTGTGAAGAGTGGAATAATAAAAGCATGCTGGCATTCCCTGTGTTGACATAACATTTCGAGGTTATGGGTGGGGGGTGGGGTGGGGGTAGGTGGAATTGAGGATTCTCGTGTCCACATATTTATTGGTATGATCGCACTGAAGTGCTAGGAAACGTAACATGTAATCTATTAGGTGCTCTAACTGCTCTGGCTCTAGTCATGCATTCTGCCAATAAATCTCTCATGACAAATATTGCAGCACTGTTACTAAGTAACTTAGTAAGTTACAGAGATTTAAAAACAAATAAATACGGCCACATAAATATTAAATTAATAAAATACGTCGATCCCATTTCGTAAAACAACGGTAGGGGGAAAGGTGGAATGGTAAGCTGGTAGGGTTTTTCTGGGGTGTAGAGCAGTCTGATAGGGGTGTAGAGCAGTCTGATAGGGGTGTAGTGCAGTCTGATAGGGGTGTAGAGCAGTCTGATAGGGGTGTAGAGCAGTCTGATAGGGGTGTAGAGCAGTCTGATAGGGGTGTAGAGCAGTCTAATAGGGGTGTAGAGCAGTCTGATAGGGGTGTAGAGCAGTCTAATAGGGGTGTAGAGCAGTCTGATAGGGGTGTATAGCAGTCTGATAGGGGTGTAGAGCAGTCTAATAGGGGTGTAGAGCAGTCTGATAGGGGTGTAGAGCAGTCTGGTTGTAAGGAGGAGTTGAGCTGTGTCATGAAAGAGTAAGATTTCAAAGAGGTGGGAATGGAGAGTGAACGAGAATAAGGGGTGGGGAAAAAGGGGGGGGGGATACTTTCCTTTGTAACTGGTGGCGACAACTATAACTAGCATTAATTTTAATTATTATTTAAATAAATTCGGTAGCCTACATCTTTTTGGTTACCATAAAATAAGAGCATGATGTATACCCTTGTAAGCATAAAATAAGAGCATGCTGTTTACCCTTATAAGCACACAATAAGAGCAGTCTGTATACCCTTATAAGCATAATACAAGAGCACGCTCTATACCCTTTCTTATGAAAACAGCAAGAGTGCAAATGATGATAAGAAACCCAAATAATGTAAAACAACACTAATGTAATATAAAACAATTTTAATATTGAAAATATATATATATATAAAATATAACATGTACTTCCCATGTCTCAAAGAAAACTATTTAACCAAAACTTGTAATCAATGGCTAACAGTCAAATATATATCAATCTTACAATCTATTTTTTTAAAATGATCTCTCTATCTCTCTATCTAGATCTCTCAATCTCTCTATCTCTCTCTCTATCTCTCTCTGTCTTTCTCTATCTCTCTATCTCAAAAAAAATTTTTAAAAATAGATTGTAAGATTGATATATATTTAATTTTCTGGATTTCTCAACACCAAATGAATAGTATAATTACCGTTTAACATTTACCAACACAAACATTATAGACATATTAGAAATAAGCATTTAAATTAACAGGTAAAGCTATTTACTATGTACAAATATTTAGAGTTTGATTAATATATAAATATAATAAATAGAGAAACTTTAAAAAAAAGAGCAAAGCATACAAAGCTTATTACATCATTAGAACTAATGACTGACTCCATGTGAATCAATTAAAACTAAACATTTCAATTGTAATTAAATCTGATACAGGTCATGTCCTCAAGCATTCAGCATCAAATGAATATAGTGATATAAAAGCAAAATACAAATTTACAAAATAATGAGCAAGCATGAAAAATGGTCTGACATGTTTAAACATTCCATGAATACTAAATTCAACCATGCAAAAACTACTTAAAATACATCTGATAAAAACGCTTTAAAAGGCATCAAAATTGTTTGGAGTAAACTATAAGTTAACAAATATTGTTTACTAAGAATTGAATGATATTCTCATCATGGATGTGGAGACAAACATGTGTCTTTGACTAGTATTTGGTAGCACAAAGTCACCTACCGAGCTGAGGGCATGTAACAGAATTTAATGAAAATGACAAGACATATCAGATAGTGGGTCAAATCAAAATAGGAAACTCTACAGCCAATGCCAGCCAAGTGTTGTCATAGAATTTGGAAGTAGAAATAGGACAAGAAAAGGAAGTTAGTCATGGCTGCCAAAGGTAAACAAATAAAAGATTTAGAAATAATATTTTTTTTCCAACAATTTCCAATAATGTAGTGGTTTAAAACATACATTAAAAAAAAATTAATTAAGTATTAACAATATAAAAATGTTACTGGTTTATTTTTAGCTGCCAATGCAAAAATATGTCTTCTTACTGATTATAATAAATATAACAACCTTAACACAGTTGAGAAAATAAATAAAAAGGCAAAAATGATGTTTAAATACAAACTTATGATCATGGTTAAAAGAAATGAAACAAATAGTTTTTGTGGAGTACTTAAAAAAACAATAATCTCATTCAATTTAATAATATGATCATTGCAAAATTAAAATGTACAAATTTATTATATAGCTTTGTTTTCAGACACATTTAATTAATAAAAATTGCCATAAATGTTTGGGAGGTTTTTGTTTCTCTATTTGCTACACAATGATGTCATTAACATCTAAACCTTTAACAAAAGTCCATTATACATTATAATTCATGCTATGCAGCTGAATGAATGATTATAAGTAGTTCATAATCTAAATCATGATGAACTTATAGCCACAGATGTATTGAGTTTATGACACCCAGGGCTTATAATAGTCCCATAATGCTATTCTATACTATAAGAGGATTAGAGAATGAAACATTTTTTTTTTACCAGAGCAATGTCACCCCTGGCATAGACCTGAGCCTTTGTTAAAAATTCCTCAACTTTGTTAATCTAGTGCTATTAATGCTAAATCAGTAAATTGACTCCACACAAAATAATCTTGAAAGCAAATTAGTAGGCAGATTAACGTAAGACTGAACATGGCATGACATAGGTGGAAATGAGCAAGACAAAGTATGGGAAAACCTGGAAAAAAAAGAACGCAGCAAAACAACGAATGTTTCGGCAAGAAGCATTCATCAGCACTCAAACAACAGTAAAAACAGAATCAGACAACCATCAAACAGAATTTTTAAAAAATACACTTAGCTGGAATGTAGTATTGGAGCACTATGAGTACTATGACATAGATGGTAATTCAACATCATGCATTTGGGACTAAAGAATGAGTTGTTTCAGATATTTTAAACAAAGGTACAATGGCTCTCAAAGACTGCTGTCTTTCAGGTTGTGTTTTGTTTACTAAATACAATATATGGATGCAGAAATTCTCTTATTTGAATTAAGTTCCTTGTTTCTTTTTAAACATAAAGAGCCTTGCATTTATAAAGTAATATTTGAGTAAAATCAGTGGGACAGTCATCTTTAACAGCATTAAAATCTTGGTATCTTTTCTCCGATTTAAAAATATCTCCATGGTGTAATAGTAGCTTTCATTTTGATCTACAAGATTGTGCAACTTCTGATATAAGTTTTTCTGCTCTTTTGGAGTACTTTGATATAAATAATTTAGAATTTTCCATCACATTGATAGTGTTTCTATCAGCTTTCTGATCCAGGAGCACAATTATCTCCATTTTCTTAAAGTACCTTCGTCTGCACTTGACTTTGTTGTGTTTTTTGACAAATACTTTGAGCAATAAAGTCTGATTACTTCCAAAGTTTGGCAGCTGTTTCATATTTTTCAGTCTCTGGACACGAGTGAGGTAAAGTTCAACAATGTCAGGCTTTAGTTCTGAACGCCGTTTTATTTGCACAGTTTCAACGGTTGCTTTGAAACCTGAGTGAAGATAGCCACAATATAGGTTAGTTATTGTAAAAACATGTGTATAAGTTGATTTATCTTAAAGGTTTAATTTTAGTGGCTTCTTGACAAGTTTAATCTAAGAACTAACCATAAAAATAAGATAGCAAGAATTTTAATTTTAAAATATATTAATTGATGAATTTATGTTAGCATCAAATTCAAATACCAAGTAACCATAAAATGTAAATATATTGAAAATTAAATGTCTGTTTTTACTAGCATGCACTGAAACTAAGGCAATTGTTTAAATAGTATTAACCTTATTTTGATTAAAATTGTGCATTTTGATATCTTAAACAACTAAAAAATAAGTCATAAATTTAAAACAATATTTTAAAAAAAAAGTTTATGATGTTCAACTATTATCAATAGTTAATGCAAGATAATATTAATAAGCCTTACCGAACTTTCTGCTGCAACCATGCTTGGTGATTTGATCAAAGGTCTTTAGATCTTTCAGTAGACAAATATTTTGGGTGTCACTGAATTTGCTAACAACCTGTTGTAAATTGAAAATATTTATGAATTGTAATGAAAGCTACTGTTGTATGTATGAACAAATATTGTGTGTTTAGTTATTCATGTATTAATATATGACAAAGTTGTCGTCATGTCAATGGTAAACAAAGATGTTGGTCTCTCTGATTGTGATAGGATTTTAAAAATGCATAATCTATTTTATATTAAAAACAGCTTTAAAACTGATTTAACAAAATTCCTGAAATATTAAGACAGATTTTCATGAACTATTTTTCACCCCAATACAAAGTCTTGCAAATAATTTGTAAAAATTAGAAAAAACGAACTTTGATTGGTAAAATCATGTATTTTCAAAAGAATGGTTTCACATGACACCATTTGCTTTTCATTTAAAATAATAACTCTCAATACAGTTGGCTAACTCACCTTATTTAAGTTGCATTGTGACAACCTGGTGTCATAAAGTTCTCTGTCATCACAGCATTGAATGTTGCCTCCAAATTTGTAGGGATAAGCTCCTGAACAGCAACTTTTCTCTCTCATATCCACATAAAATATACCACAACATTCATATTGGGGTTTTGATTGATAGGCATTGCCTGCACAACACTCCACAGTGGATGAATCGATATATGATCCACCACAACAAGAAAACTCTTCCTCATAGTTATAAATGTTTCCCTCACAGCAAACTTCATATGCTCCATCATAAGGTAAGCCAGAGCAGTTCTCGATGCATGGGTTGTTTAAGTCATCAAATTTGTATACCGTAGCGTCATTGTAACAACACCTGAGTAGACAAGAATATTTATAAATATTATGATGCTCATGAGCGCAAAATGTAAGAAAATAAAAGCATAAAAATTGCAAGGCCTTTTCTTTTATTTTTTAAAAACATTTTTTTTTAAATTTCAAAAGTTTTTGTGCAATTATTCCAAAAAGCCTGCAAAACTTAGTTAAATTTCACCTCATATGATGGCGCAGAGTGATGTGTCATTGAGTTTATACGACCGGAGATTAGAAAAATGCTTTAGACAACTGTATATTTTAAAATGGTCTTACCTGCCATCCTTGGGAGAAATGTTAGATATAACACCATAACAACACTGCTGAGTTTGAGCATTGATGACCTTATCAGAACAACATTGATGCGTGTCACTATTGTAGGCTTGCGTGTCGCAACACTGATCCCCTTCAGATTTGTTGATCACATGTCCTTTACAGCAGATTTCTGTTGCCACATTATAGGATCCCCTCGGCCCACAAGGTTCTGTGCCTTTTTTATAACCTTCAATGACGGCTCCATTTACACACCTCTGATCATTAAATGCATTGAAAGTAGCGACCGCTTCACGGCCATTATAACAGCATTCATTATCATCTGGGTGAGATTTCTTAAGTGGCATGGTGTCATCACAGCACAAATGATCATCACTTATCCCAACTCCATTGCAGCAGATAAAGTTTTTAGGTATCACGGTGATATTCAAACTACCTGAGAGTTTAAAATAATTTGTATAGAACTAAAAGATGTTGTAACATTTTTTTTTTAAAAATGTATTCAATGATCTCTTAAGTTTGTGTACACAGTTATTGATAGCTGAAAAGGCTTTAAAATAGAAGAGTATTAATTTGTTTGTCAGGAACTATTAAGTAAGAGTCAATAGTCATCATTCATGACCAATTAGAATTTATTTAAATTTTTGCAAGCAAATATTTATTATTAGTTGCAGACAATGTCGCAAACATTTTATCTTGGTATGAGCCCAAAGTGAATATGTGAGTGAATTAAAAATAGCTTAATCACTGGAACAAGCAATAATTACATACAAATGCATATAATATAATGTTTTTTTTAAAAATAACTATTAAAAAAAGGCTTACCATCACAACAAAATTCTGTATCCTTATCATAATGTTTATTGAAACAGCAACCGTATAATTCTGGATCAAAGTGACTCCCACCACATAGAAGTTTGTCATGTCTTATTTTGATACTTTTTCCATCATAACAAGTTTCTTGCGATGTGTTGTAAAACCCTGTACCACATTACAAGTAGTAAAAAAGTTAATGAATCTGTAACACATATCATGAAAACTAATATAAAGTTAAGATTCCTATGTGCAGTTTTAATATATTTATTGTCTTTTTATGAAACTAAATTTCTTTATAGCTAGAAGTCACTGTGAATGGAGTGGGCTTTTTTTGTAGTATCTATTTGACAAAAAAAGAAAAGAGACAAGAAGACTTAAGGCTATTTGAAGTATGAGTAAGATATACAATAGATCCTCTAATGATTCTGTTTTATAAGAAAATACCCTATAAAATAACTGTTGAAGGCTTACCATTTCCACAGCATTTTAATTCTGGCCTGTTTGGAATGATGTGTGTATGAAATTTAGGATAATGATGATTTCTACAGCACTTTTCTTCTACAGGATTCATCACCAAGGAATCACAACAGCTAAAATTGGGATTGGGTTCAATAAGTTTTGGAACATCCGGATCGTACTCAGGAACATTGTTTAGAACTCCTGTGTTGTGCATAAAAAAATAAGTTTGTAGACATGTAAGATGAGGCAATTACCGTTTTAAAAATGTAAAAAAAAATTTAATTTGCTTTTAAAAGTTGTGTAAATAGTTTATAAAAAAAAAAAAATCAATGTTAGTCTCCAAAAGTGAAATAGAACTATTACTTTTAAACAAATAGGATATGTAATTAATAGATTAGGAAAATAATCTTAAATTTTAAAAATATCAACATATGAAAGATTATTGTAACATCATTGAAGAGGAGAGGCTTGTAAGGAGCCAACACCCAATAGATAGAGAAAAAAGCTAAAATAAAAGAACAAACCTGAACAACATCCATTATTATTTTTATTGTATTTGCGATCACCACAAATGCCTTCACTTTTGTTTCCGATGTCAAATTTCAGATCACCAGCCTCATTCATGAAAAACAAGCAATTTCCAGTATCACGTCTGTAAAACATGTCTCCACAACAATCAATATGATTATCCAAAGAACGTTTTTTCTTTCCACAGCAAACTTCACTGCGGACATCAAACAAGCTGCTTTCATTGCAACATTTCAAATAATCTCTCTCTTCTCCTGAAAGATAAATTATTTTTATGAAAGTTAAATTAATTTTGTGAGAATAAAAGATTAATTTATTTTTTTTTTAAAAAGATCTTCTTTTCAATTTTAATTTTTTAAAGACAATTTCCATTATGGTATATATAGCCTTATAGTAGTTTATAGTTGTGATAATATAAAAAAAAAAAATATGCCAGAGAATGTGGCATCTGATTCTTTGCTGTCTTTTTACTCTTTCCATTTTTCCAGTAATTGTCACCCTTATTCCTGTATATTTCAATATTTTCTGTGATGCCTTGGGTAAACCAAGATGGGCCAACAGATCTTACTTCAACATGCTTTATATTTAGTTGGCACCAATAGTGAACTTGTTCATCCTACAGGTGGTAGGGGAGGACTTTGGCAACATTTGATGTATCCTAAACTGAGCATTTTTGTCCTGTATTTAACTGACTGACATCTTGTAATTCATTAAAACTCTTCAATTAAAGGTAAACAATATTAAGCACACTTACTCTGGGAGGAGGTCAGGGCGATTTTGTGGCCAAAGCAACACATAAAATCCTCTTTAGAAATAACATCTTTCCCACAACACATTTGCTCCTGACAGTTGACATCATTTGGAGAGCATTTTTCTTGCACAAGCTCTTCTTCCTCACAGTGTTCTTGGTTGTGAGGACAAACATATGTTATGAAGCGATCCATCACCGTGTTTTCACAACACAGTGATACATCTGTGTTGTAAAATTGGTTCCCGTCTATGAAAAATAACAAAGGTTTATTTAAAATATTTAGAAGAAAAAAAATTATATGAGAAACAAAGCATAACTACAATATCATTATAATTTATATCTAACACTTTCTCATTATATTTATTCTTAGTAAAATGTCTCAAATCTTATCAGTAATAATTAATATTATATTCATACCACAACATTCCTGGTTTTTCAGACGATTTTGCACCTTGTCTTTGCAGCATATTTGATAATTGTGATCATACAGCTCCCAATTACTACACATACTGTCTAAGAAATACATAAAACAATTATAAAAATATGGACCATGGAATTTGAGAACCTTACACTTAGAGTCACTGGGCAAATAATTTTATTTTTATAGAGACCTGGCAAGTGAAATTAAAAAATGACAACTCATTATCATTATGATGAAGTTAAACTGAAACTTAATTTTTAAACTAAATCATAGACTATGATAGACATATAATGAATGGCTATACTCTACACTATTAGTAGGTTATAAAACATGATTATGAGTTTCAATAGGCCTTATAATTATAATTTCATGTGCCAAGACACAGGTTAATTATTTATTTAAATAAAGAGCCAATTTATATTTATTACATTATAATATAATAAAATATCCTATTAAATGATTGTAATAAATTATGCTTATTCAACTGACTATGGGCCTAGCCCCATATCTTATAAATATAAGTTTTATTTATAGGCCTATAAAATACACAACATAGTATAGTAGGTAAGTAGGCCTGTTTTCTTTAAAAAAATAAAGACGAATTTACATTGGACCATGTCTGATTGCCTCATGACAACAAGTAACAGTAAAATTTTAATTTACATGTCTTGACATAAATTTAATGTGAAAAGAGAATTAAATTTTTTTATAGTATAGCCAATAGTGCCAATACATGACAGAACTATTGAAATTGTATGATGAGCCGCATGAATGTGGATTTTTTTTATATTTTTAATATTTAATTTAAACTGTGATTTGATAAATAGAAATAACAATTAATAGATTTATTATTATTTACTTTTTGCCAAAGATCCGAGAAGGCCATTGAATAACCAAAGCGTACTGAATAGTAGGCCTATTCTATGTACCGGTATTTTAAGATTAAGAATGCTCATTGTACAATATGAACATGCGAATCTGTAGATGTAGACTTAGTAGTTAACTTAGATTTTATTAATTTCGATAAGGCCTAAATTTGAAATAGTCCAACAGAATAGAAAATATCAGATGCTGACAACGTTAACGTTCTAGGAGAAGTGTTGAGAGTAAATAAATTTCTCACCTTTATCAAGTTTTTTTTTCATGAATTCCCTTTCCCAACAACCACTCAAAAATAAAACAAAAAATCCACAACCTTTTCCCAAAATTTTCTATTAATCTTATTGGTTGGATAAAAATAAATGTAGGGGATTACCCACAAGGCCCGTTTTTAAAGTATAAAATTAGACGATTAATAAAAACTTCATGTCACGCTGTTTTGGAAACCCCTTCAACCCCCCCCCCCTCTATAAAATCGTAAAAAAAAATAAAATAAAAAAATTGTTATCAAAATTTAAATACCCAATTGATACATCGTTACAAATTCTCATCCACCCACACAGAACGAATCGCCCCAACTTAAAGTAAAAGTAGCCTACTACTAGGATTTTCTTTAAAACGATCATGAACATTTTAAATTAATTTATTTTGATTAGTTGATGACCAACAATTTATTTTATTTCTATGACTGATCAGACTCCATGCCCACTGAGACTTAGTTTTAAATTATTAAATATGTATAAAAATTCCTTAAAATTGACATTTTAAATAGTCATTGTATAACCATATTGTGTTAACGTAATAGTTATATCAATTTTATTGTTCCTCATCCTCATGTCCCTTAGTCCTTGGACCGTTGGGGCGCCACAGATGACATGTGAACCATCATCCTCCATTCCTCTTTGTCTTCAGTACTACACACTGCATCGCCCAGAGTTAGTCCTGTCCACTCTTTGATGTTGTCCTCCCACTTTTTCCTTTGTCTTCCTCTTCTTCTTCCTCCTCTTGTGGTGCCCTGCAAGATTTCTTGTTTCCTTGTTACGTGGCCGTACCATTGTAATTTGCGTTTTTTTTCACAGTCACCAGTAGGTCATCGTACTCCCCAATTGACTGACGAACCCTTTCTTTCACTGTATCATTGGGGATATGGTCCCTATAGCAGATGCCCAAAATGCTTCTGAAGCATCTCATCTCCATCGCCTTTATTTTCCTTTTAAGATCGGCTATTAATGTCCAGGATTCGCAGGCATACAGGAAAATGGAGAGGACTAATGAGCGCATCAGCCTGATTTTGGTGCTGGGGGCTATATTTTTGTCATTCCATATTTTCTTGAGCTTTTTTAGTGCTGTTGTAGTCTGCGCAATCCTGGACATCAGTTCGGGCTTGGAGCCTTCTTCTGAGACTATTGCTCCTAGGTATTTGAAGCGGCCGACAGTCTCTAATCTTTCCTCCCCGACCTTAATTTCAGTGGTGATGCCTGCGGTATTATTTGTCATCAGTTTTGTCTTTTCGGCACTGATTAGCATGTCGTAGGACGACGAGGTCTTATCGAGACGCTTTACCAGGTTGGCTAGCTCTTCTTCGTTCCCAGCCAGCACGTCTATGTCGTCCGCAAAGCGTAGGTTGGTGATTGTTCTGCCACCAATGCTGACTGTCCCTTCATGTGCTTCCAGAGCATCTGACATAATTCTCTCTAGGAAGATGTTGAATAAGGTTGGGGAGAGCAAGCAGCCTTGTCGTACTCCAACCGTGGTCTTGAACCATTCTCCGATGTTGTTGTTGAGGAAGACTGCACTGGTGGCCTTATCATAGAGGTTGCATATCATGCTGGTTAGGTTTGTGTTGATGTTGTAGTGCCTCATGGTGGCCCATAAAGCAGCATGCCAAACTCTGTCAAATGCTTTCTTGAAGTCAACAAGGACGTGGTATAGATTTTGTTGGTGTTGAGCATATTTCTCACATAGTATTCGGAGGTTTAGAATCTGCTCAGTAGTGCCCCGTCCTTGTCTGAAGCCCGCCTGTTCTTCAGCAATGATTCTTCAGCATGACCTTGCTTGGATGGCTTCTTGGGCTAATTGTGCGATAGTTTTGGCATATCTGTAGGTTACCTTTTTTGGGGAGGGTGACGATGAGTGATTGGGTCCATGGTTTGGGTCATTCTCCTGTAAGCCAGATTTTGCTTCTCCTCCTTGTTTCATCAACTTGGCAGGGATATTATCCACTCCTGCAGCCTTTCCCGTTTGGAGTGCTTGGACTGCTGCTTCTACTTCTGCCCTGAGAATAGGGTAGTTATAATTGTCTGTTGCTGGAGGGACATTAAGGATCTCTGGGTCTATCTTTATACTTTCACTATACAGCTCTGAACAGTATTCAATCCATCGTTTGATGATATCATTTTCTTCAGTTAAGCATTTACCATTTTTATCCTGTATGGTAGTAATACGCCTTTATTTTGCAGTGGTTAGTTCTTTCACCAACTGGTAAGCTTTTTTGCTATTGTTTTTCTTCAAGCAGTTTTCAATGTCGTAGCATTGCTCTTCAATCCATTTCTTCTTTGCCCTTTTCATAGCCTTTTTGATGACTTGATTAACTGTCCTATATTTAATGGCCCACTCTGTATTTACCATTTTTTGTTTTCTTTAACTTCCTCCGTTTATCCCACAGATCAAGAATGTCAGCTGTCGTCCATGGTTTTCGGGTTGGTCGATGTTTACCGAGGATTGTTAATAATAAATAATAATCCACGCAAGGCGGCATGACAATTGACTTAAGTTAAGACTTGTCATCATGAATCATGTTTCTGTTCGCCCCGTACCTGCAAGATCTTGCCAATACAAGGACAATCTTCTTAGATCTATGAATGAATTAAGTCCACCGGCACCAAGCAATGATTAAATAAAAATAGCTATAGGTTAAAAGTCCTCTTTATCTGATTAAAAGAGTAGCAACCAAAAATAAAAGCTGTTATCTATAAGTTAGTAGGAGTTGCTGCCCATGAAATTTGGCCGGCAAACATGATTACCGATAACTCTACTCAGTACGGTAATTTATTTGCTACTAAAGTTAAAATTCAGGGCCGTACCTTGACTACCGTAATTGCCGGCAGGAGCGAACTCCCAAAAGTACGCCCCCCCCCCCAACCAAACCAAAAAAAAAAAAAATAATAAAAAATAAAATATAAAAACTATCTGTGTAGCAGTTAAAATAATAATTTTTAAATAGTATAATTTTTAAGTAAGATTTTAATGAAACAGTTTATTCCTTTATATTATATATTATATAAATATGAAACAAATTGTCAGCTCAAGCTCAAAATCTGTCTCAAGCTTTCAAATGAACATACGTCGACAATATTGAAAATTTAAAATATTAATTTATTTGAAAAATTAGAATTCACAGAATGTTGGGACAAGCATTTGACAGAAGTGGTATTCGTAAGGCATTATAATAGGGTTAGTGCCATCCAATGCTATAAATCTATGATATCATTCTCTCTAGACTTCCTCATTCACCTCCCCAGACTGCCAGAGTCTGCTTTCTCTATGGTACCTTTCTCTGAAGCTAACATTCTCTGTTCATATGGATGGGTATCTGAAATTTGTTCAAAAGAAATTTGTGTGACTGAAATTTCTTCGAACTGCAGTTTGTTCAAAATGGAGATGGGGAGAAAAAAAACAACAAAAATCATATTTTATAAAAATTTACATTTTCCTTGTTTATCACTTGCTCTTTCCCATAAAATTTTTAAAACCAATAAATAAATGAATCACTGTCTAACAAATTTTATTATTTTTAAAAACTTCAGTTTGAACAAATTTCTTTTGAACAAATTGTCAGGTACAGTTCAGAAGGCATCATGTTTTTGGTCACAATTTTCTAGTTGTAACCTGATCTTGTATTTATATAAAATTTGTTAAGAACTGACTCAAGCAAGCTGTGTCAAACATAGTCAAAATGCAAAATTTGATTAATTTTGATTGGAAGTAGTTATAAGGAAGTGCTTTAAACAAATAAGAAGTTTGAATTTAAAAATGAAGTATTTCTATAAACACATCCAGGTCAAAGAAATCTAAATTTCCACTAGCGTCTCTTCTTTTGCTTGCTATTATCATTTAGGTGGTCCATGGGTCTAAGTTTTTTTTCTCTATGTTCTTAATTTTTTTTAAAAAAAGGACACAAACAGAAAGACAAAAAAAACACTCAAATTTATTTTAAAATTTTTTTGGTGACTTTTATTTACACCATGTACATATACCATTCATGAAAAAAAAAACAATTTGAAAACATAGACAGAAACGATTGAAAAAAAAATTAACACACTTTTTCAAATGCCACCCCATGAACCTAATTCATAAAATACATAAATAAAAAATTCTGAAAAATTTTCCTATGAGACATTTGTCTAAAAACCATCCACCATTAAGTAAGGAATGTCAATATAAATAAGCATGCAAAGTTTCAATTATTTAGTTCCAAAACTATTCTTCCTGATTCAATTGACGTCAGAAAAAAATTGAAAATGCTAAGTCGATAAAAGCTGAAAAAGACACTGAAAAATGCTCATTAAAAAAGTTAAAGGTTACTTGAACAATATTGGATGCATATATCAATAACAAATTCCACTCGTTAATTTAAAAAAACAATTTAAGAACATAGATATAATAGATTGAATATAAATGAATGCATTTTCCAGCAACCCACCAGCTTAGAGTCTAATAAAAATAATATGATCATAAAAACTTCTGAATTTTGTTTATGAGACATGTAATAAAAAATCATCAATTATTATGCAGAGAATATCAATAGAAACAATCTTGCAAATTTTGAAGCATGTGGTAATAATACTTTCCCTCATAATACATCTGACGTCAGAGATAAATGGAAAATCCTACGTGGAAATATAAAAAAAGTTGTAATATGTTCATTTAAAAAAAAATCACAGGCCCTCTAAACAATATAAAGGTTGCATTGGTTATATACATACACAATTCATACTAAAGGATTTTTAAAAGACTGGGGCCGTCCATAAAGTACGTCAAGTTTTTGACAGGGGGGAGGGGGGGGTCAGGCCATGTGTCACATATTTATTTTTAAAAAATTTTATTTCTAATTAATTTCTTTTTTTCGTAAAATTTAATAGCCTTCAAAATAATTTTCAAACATTTGTAAAAGATTTGAATTAGTTTTATGTCAAAATACCATGAAATGCGTATCTTCTGAGTGTGTTGTTCACGATTCCTCTCGCTAGGAGCGCTAGTATGCTGTTGCGAAGACTTGTTTTATGTATAGCCTTGCCGAGATCAACAGGAGTTTTCAAAATACAACCATATGACCTTTATTGTCCATCTTTGCAGACCAGCTTACTTGATCGAAGTTTGACTCGATATATTCATTCAGTGTTGTAGTAGTGCATTCATAAGGGAGGACCATACCTAACAATAAAATATTGAAGGACTTTGGATGCATGCGAAACGTAAACTCCACTATCAGAGTGATACTAGTCACGGTCTTGGAGGTCTTTCAGTGGCGGGCGCAACAGTCACATTTAATACTAATACGTTTTATGCTGCTATTTGCTGAGTAGGCACTTTGATGAAAATTTCTAAACATTTAAAAAAATATAAAACTACTACAGCTGTATAGAGCCAATAGAGTGGTTTACAAAAAAACCAAGATCAACTTTCTAGCTCAAGTGGTTCAAAAGTTATGAATTTTTTAGTATGGACCTCAAAAGCACTTTTTCACTATGGGATTTTCCTCCACATTTCGTCCCCCTTATATTGCTATTGTTTTTATGCCTATAACTTTGTTATAAAATGAGACAAAAATATAATAATTACTGGGAACACAGTTAAATACGAGTTCTTCAAAATTAAGCCACAAAATACAATTGTAGTTTTTGTTAATATTCCGCAAAAAAATATTTTTAATCTTGATAATTTTCCTTATTAAAATGTATCAAATATGCTGACTCGTCACTTATTTGTATTTAATTAATATATTTTTTAAAAACATATATATATTAAATTTCCCTAATTTTATAATAATAATAATATTCTTTAGATATTAATTTCAAATTTTCAATGGAATTGTTTAACATTTATAAGCATCAAATAATAATACAGGGATTATTTGATTCCTTTATCTAAAATTGACAATTATACTTTTTATTTTTCCATTTTCTATATATATTTTTAGTCTCATTTGAATATGACCAAAAAAATAGTAGATTCTTTATTTTAAGTTAGATATCTTGTTTCACAAATTAAAATGTATCAACTTTGACAGTTGATAGAAATTAAAATAAGTTCTAGTCATTTGCTTGAGGTAAGTACAAGCTTTTATGATTATTCTTTAATAATATCTTAAGAAATTCTTGGATCACTGTGGCAGAGTGTGTTATTTCTTGAATATTGAGGATTATATTATATAATAAGTTTCTTGTGGAATATTGTGATTTGTGAGTGAATACAGGATATTTCAATATCAAAGGTAAGTGAATATTTACATTTTTTATTTTATTTTAAGAATCAATTGAATATTGAGGATTATATTATATAATAAGTTTCTTGTGGAATATTGTGATTTGTGAGTGAATACAGGATATTTCAATATCAAAGGTAAGTGAATATTTACATTTTTTATTTTATTTTAAGAATCACAATGTTCATTAAAATATGATTACATAGCCATAGCCATTAATATCATTTACCGGTACCTATAATAGATTCTGCAATAACAAGTTGGGATCTCACTAGGTCTGTACTATACTAGGCTTATAGGATATATATATATATTTTCCTACTATAAGTGTAATAATACTACTAAGGCTAGGGTTATTTATCCCACTCCCCCAATTAATACCTCAAAATAAAGCATCAGATAATATTATAAATAGGTATTTGTGCTAGTAAATTATTGCTTTGTTTTAAAATTAGTTATTAGTGGGTAATATGCTGGATTTCCAGTGTAAATCAAGTTGCTTATTACAAAAACGTCCATTATCGATAATAGGTAATTTTGGGACACATGTGACAAAAATTTTGCACACAAATTTCTCACCCATGGCGGGGTCCTAACCTCACGAATTTTGGATATGTTGTCATTTATGCCTACATCTAACATTGGTATTTTCTCTTTTTAAACTTACATTTTCCAAAAAAAAATTATGAAAGAGTCAAATTAGCTATTATTTACCATTAATTTTCAATGTCAAACTGTCAAATTTTTTCTTAAAGAAAAGTGTCACATGAACAACAAACATGTCTGCTTTAAGTTGGGGGCAGAAATAGAATTTAATAACAAAACTAACTTATATTATTTACCATTAATTTTCAATGTCAAACTGTCAAATTTTTTCTTAAAGAAAAGTGTCACATGAACAACAAACATGTCTGCTTTAAGTTGGGGGCAGAAATAGAATTTAATAACAAAACTAACTTATGCAAAAAAAAATCTTAAACAACACAACCCTCGGTAAATTAAAAAGTGGAGGTCGCCATTTTGACAACGAAATCACGATACCCGGTTTTCGGCACTTCCCGGATCATACCGAAGTCCCTATGCTGAGTATTTGCAAAGTAAAGGCAAATGTTATGCGCCAATTACAATATTTATTATTTATTGACTGGTTTGTTAAGAGACAGTTATTTTCAAAAGCTATGATTGACATTTCTGCTGTTTTCTAACAATACAGACTATGCATTGCAATTTTTTTCATTCAAAATAACTTGGGACCGGACTTTGGAGATTTCCAAAAATTGTTTACCATCACAACTCTTCTGTCATTGTTGCTAGCAAATACAACAGATCTTCTTCCGGATTAGCAAGAGGAAACCAAAAAAAAAAAAAAGGACATGTAGTATGGGAGACCACTCTAAATATATTAATTCATCATCCCTGTCCAATAAATAAAGTATTATATTAATAAGTAAGCTAAAAAGGGTTGATTACAAAGTCCCTAAAAAAGGAAATGGATCATAAAGCAGGTATTAAGACCACACTTTAAGCATAGTTTCATTTTTTAATAATATTATATTAATTATACATCATACTCATCAACATAGAATTTCATTATAGGCATGTAGTGGTCTTATTAAAATTAAGTTTAAGTGGAGAACATCAGTGACGACAGTGTCAACAGTAACAGAAGTGGAGGTTTAGGTTCCCTTGACTTATCTATGACTATGTGATCTATGTTTATTTAATATTAGTAGTTTATTAATAGTAAATTTATTTTTTAAAAATTTGATTTCAGTTTTGAGATTTATAATTTGAATCTCATTTCATACAATTCTGGCCTAAAGAAAGAACTGGTGCACATGTCACAAAAATGTGCTTTATGGCTTTATAATTTATATATAATATATATTATTTAAAGATGTTTCTGCCAAGAGTTAAAATAGTCGTTAATTGATTGAAATAATAATTTCATTTGTCATTTGTGATACATCTGCCGGAATACTATATTTAACACAGCTAGCTGACCAGCCATGTTCTAGTTACTTCTCTACCTCTAGATTGGTTTTCAATTGACGCTAAATTCATTGATAAGATAGCTGTTGTGCTTACAAGTTTTTGTAAAGGACCACATTTTCAATAACTTAGGTGCTGCAGGATTAAGGAAATTTACTTAAGCTGTGGTTTGTTCTTAATTTTTCATTGGCATCTAAGTTGAGGACAAAATGTGAGCATTTCTATCCTTGATTGGTAAGGCAGGGAGGGATATGTTCCTTCATGTCTTTTGTTTGCATTTGTGCGGCAAGTATTACCATGAGAACCCATAGGAAACATTTTTAGAGAGTTATACTTATAGTTGTTATAGCCTACTAAATTTACCACCCATTTATACAGATTTCCATTAGTATACGAAAATACTTCAGTTTAAACTTGTGTTCATTTATTCCTAAAAATAAAACACACCCAGTCGGGTTAATTTGGAACACAGGCTTATCCTGGCTTATGGTACTTTGACGCCACATGGGATGAATGTCTCTTTTCACTGCTTGACCCTAACTCCGCCCCTCCACGTCCTGACCTTCTTCTTCTTCTATATCTTAAGGGGCCCATGATCAATTTATTGATAATTTTGGCTCCTATGCATGTATATGGGATTTGCAATTTTTCTGTGCCTGGTGTTGATGAGGAAATTTCACTGATTTCCAGTGCCACTTAACTTTGTGAGGGAATCATGCACTAGGGGTTTGAAGGCTTGAGGCAATAGACAAAAATGTGTCTAGTGTTGTCGCCTCAACCGTTCCTTTTGAAAGCTTGTTCCAGTCCCTGATTGTCTTGGGCAGGAATGAGCAGCTCCTATACTGGCTTCTTGCTGGTATGAGCCTGAATTGCCTGTCATGGCCTCTTCGCTGTCTATGGGGAGAAGGACGAGTTTCTGTTTAATACTGGAACAGTGGACCTGCCCATTATTTATCTTGTACATCATGGAGGCCCTGATTGTCGTCGTCGTTCCTTCAATGGTGACCAGCCTAGTGTTTCCAGCATGCTGCCAACACTAGAGGTATTCCTGTAGCGGTTTAGGACAAAGCGTGCTGCTCGTCACTGGACCGCCTCCAACCTGTCAATGCTCTTCTGGGTAAATGGGTCCCAGACTGAAGATGCATAATCTAAAATCGGACGGATAAAGGCTTTATATGCTCTTTCTTTCACACAGGAGTTGCCAATCTTTAGATTTCGCCTTAAGAACCCTAGGGTCTTGTTTGCTTGGTTACATACATTGTTAATATGCTCGTCCCAGCGGACCTCTCTTTGAATGGTAACACCCAGATACTTTACGGAGGAAACTGTCTCAAGTATATGGCCATGCAGTTCGTATTGGTTGTGTATATGAGTACAACTTCTAGAGACTGATAGTGTCTGGCACTTGTCAGGGTGAAATTCCATGTCCCAGCTCATCTCCCACTCAGCTAACAGATTGAGATCCTGTTGTAGCTGGTCCTGGTCAGATCTGTTGGCGATCGTCCTATACACCGCTATACATCAGCGAACAGTCTTGTTTGTGATGTCAGTTTCTCGGGTAGGTCATTAATGTATGCTAGGAACAAACAGGGGCCTAGCACTGATCCCTGGGGGACCCCTGACTTCACATCGACAAAGGAGGAGCTTGTACCGTCCACCACTACTGCTTGGCATCAGTGGCTGAGGAAGCTAGAGATCCATGTTTTAGTGGTGCCTTGGATCCCAAATCTCTGGAGTTTGTGTAGAAGCAAGCTATGATTCACACAGTCAAATGCCTTTGCGAAGTCCATTACCAGCACGTCAGTCTGCTTGTGGTTCTCCAGATTGGTCATCAGGTCTTCTACAAATTCAAGAAGCTGGGTCTCACATGATCTTTTGACTCGGAAGCCATGTTGACAGTCATTGAGTATATTTTGGCTTTCGAGATGCTTCATGACTGTCCTTACGATTATGTGCTCCATCAGTTTGCAGACCATGCTGGTGAGGGATATCGGACGATAGTTGGCAGGGTCGGAATGCTCCCCTTTCTTGTAGATTGGAGTGACATGCACTGTTCTCCAGTCTGCTGGAACATTTCCTGTGCACAGTGACGATTGGAAGAGGATTGTCAGTGCAGGAGCGATTTCTTTGGCTAATTCTTTGAGCACTCGTGGTTTGATGTTGTCAGGACCACATGCTTTGCAAGGGTTAATGGTATTGAGGAGGGCAAACACACCTTGTTCTGATATCTGGATATCTCCCATGACAGGGTAGGTTCTGTTCATCATTTTGGTCTTCAGAAGGAACTCAGTCTCAGAGTACTCTCTACCGTCACCAAAGACAGACTGGAACTGTTGATTGAGTATCTCCGCCTGTGCTTTTGGGTCAGATGTCAATTGGCCATCCCACCTCAGGGGGGAAACTCCAGCATTAGAGGACTTTTGGTGCTTCACATAGCTCCAGAAGCGCTTGTTCTTGAAATCTTTGGTTGGGGTGTCTTCCTCTGAGAAGATGCAGTTCATGTAGTTCCAATATGATCTGCAAAATAAGCGTTGAATGGTTCGGCGGAGGCTCAGTACCTCCTCTCTCAGTTCAATCAAGCCATTTTTCTTCATACGTTTGTATTGGCGGTCTCTCCTGTGGATGAGCCTATGGATTTCAGCTGTGACCCATGGCTGATTTATCCTAGGTTTGGTGATTTTGTGTGGTATGAATTTCTTCACTGCATCAGTGATTGTTGTTTTAAACTTCACCCACGGCTCTTCTGTTGTCGCTGTACTCTGAATCCCCTGCATGTTTGAGCTTAGCTCTGTGATCGCAGTGGACTTGTTTCTCCTCTTTTCTTTTGCTCTTCCCTATTTAATCTCTCCCTCACTTACTTTCTGTCACATTTCTTTTGCTGCCCACGGATACTACGCCCAAGCTAAGTGATATTTCTTATTTTTATTTTTATACCGTTTTTTCTGTCGTTTTGTTCGCTGACAAAGGCTTTCTGCCGACACGTTCTTTGTTTTGTTGCGTTTCTTTTTTCAGCTTTAACCCTACTCTGTTTTACTCATTTTATATTTATTCCTAAAATAAGCATGACACTTTCATTGTTTTTACAGAAAATGCCCTGGGTATTTCTTGGCATGATACTGCTTGGGTCCCACATCTCAATCAAAGTAACATCTTGGACTACTTTTCTGAACGCTCCAATCCTTTCTATGATAGAACATGCAACAATGAGACCATAAAAATGCAGAGGCTTAGTCCAGACCAGATGCTGTGAGTTCAGTTTTCCTGAATTATAAATTAAAAGATGTTGCATAGTCCTTACTTGTCTGAATCACATTTAATATCTACACTTATCTTTCATGTTTAGTTCATGATCCAATTGTGAAAATCTTAATGAAAATTAATCAAATAAACCTTTAGGCAAAATGTGTATACAACTCAAAAGAACTAAAGGGTTTTGCTCTATCTTTAGTAAAAAAAAAATCTTCTTTGGACCAAGTTATCCATTTTTTATTAACTTGCTTTTAGAAAGAACTACCAGTATTTTAAAATAAAATGTTGAATTAGTGAAATAATTGATGAATAGTAAAACCCTGTTACTGTTACCACAAAAAGCTATGGTTCTTAATTTTTAGAACTACAATTTAATTGAGTGGAAAAGTTGACTTATGTATATGAATACAAATAAATAAATGGAAGTTTTGAATGTTAAAATTTCAACATACTTTAAATTAAGATTTGAAGTTCACTTAACTGACTTTTTTCTAAATAGAATTTTTTTCTGTAACTTTATTTTTCTTTTTAAATTATGTGGAACTAATTTTGTGTATAAATTTGTTTTGAATGTGTTGTTGATAATACTACATCATTTTAGATTATAGAAGCCAAATCCATGTGTTATTTTGATTGTTGATGAAACTTTAAAAATAAATTATTTAACAAAAATTAATTTCTATCAAGGAATATGACAGGATTGGAGTACTCACTTCTGCATGCTCAAGAACCAATTTTGTATGTCATTCGTAAACAGCATCGCCATTCTCCAACCCAAGGTAATTAATTGGTTAATTTCATTAAATTTAATATTTTTAAATTTTACAGAATTTGTTTCAATTTCAATAATAAAAATATGCATACACAAAAATATACCTAGAAAAATATAAAAAAACGAGTTAAATGATAATTTTAAAATTCTATTTTAGTGACCCCACTTGCAGACTATTACATCATTGCGGGTACAGTGTATCAAGGTCCTGATTTATGCTCTGTTGTCAACTCAAGACTGGTATGAATTCTATTTGAAACGTTGCCTTTTTTTTATAGAAATGAACTCTTATATTTTATTTATATTTTCATCAATATTCATTGTCGGAGGCAAGAAATGTTTTATTTGAAATAATTAAGACAGGAATAAAGGATCCGCTGGCCTCAAATCTTAAGTTTTCATTATTAAACTTGGATTAGTAAGTTCAAAATATTTGTATCACCAGCTTATCTTGACTTAACAAATGTAATTAAGACACTTTTAAATGTTTACAGCTCAACACATTGCATAATTTACAGTCAGCATTTGATGAAGGTGGGTAAAATTCAAAGAGTTAAGAGAGAAAAATTAGCCTAAGCTGTTTTGAAAATGGCAATTTTAAAACCAGTGTGTTAGAATTTCTGCAATTTTAATCTAACTAATACTAATATTTTGTATTGCTATACTATTTAAACTGCATGTTTTAAATAATTTGATTGCTTATCCATAAATAGCATTTTGAATTGGCAAAAGTATTTATAAAAACTGATTCATTTATCTTGCAATAATTCTGCAGCCCTAGGATATGCTAGATTCCATCCCTCTCGAGGCTACTCTTGGGAATTTAAAGAAAAAGAAGAGAAAGGTGAGAGCAACTCTTTGCAATACATCAAAACATTGTTTGAGACAAATTTATCAGTTGATCACCTGGACTGAAGAGTCTTAGTAGCACTTTAAATAAAGTATTCTTCTTATTGTCTTAATTTAATAATTAATTTTTGGTCTGTGCAATCTTGTTATTGTTGAAAATGAAACCTTAAATTTGTATTCTGTTGCAGAGCCTGCTGCAAAAGATAAAAAAATCAAGAAGAAAGAAGAGGCCAGCTCAGCATTCCAAAGGAAAAGAGTAGATTTGCTGTTGGGAGAACTCGCCAAGAAACATCCACCTCTCTTCATGCCCCCACCATCCCAGCCACCTGCTAAAGGTAATTTTACTGTGGCAGAAATCATAGAATGCAAATAAATGTTTACTATTGGTGTGCCTTTGTACTTGCATGTTAAATTATTTTGTTATTTGCTATAGTGGAAGTCAGTCTTTAAAAGTTTACCTGTTTTGTAATTTAGTACCTCATGTGGAAGATGTGAAAACGGAAGTAAAAGTGGAGAAAGGAGAGGACAAAGTCACAGTTAATGGCAGCATGCGACCACCTCCAGAAAAGAGACAGAAATTGAGATAATGTTTATCAGTCATCAATGACATTTATTTTGCTCTTGTAAATAATGTTTGTAAATAGTAATTGTCATTCACATTTAAAAATATTTTTTTTAAAATAAAGTGTAAGCCTCATGTTCAAAAGTATTTTGTAAGCATATTATTTTAAGAAATCCATTTTTTTTTGCCACATCCAAAAAAAGTTTGAAGTCCTTCTTTCTTTGCAAAATGTTAGGAATTTTGCAGAACATTTTCAATCTTTTTTTAAAATCTCTCTGAATTTTTTTTGCTGCTCCTGGCTAACAGAAATAAAAGAGTGCTAAACTTTCCTTAGGTTTTATCCATATGATACGAACTCAGACAATGTATTAAGAGGTGTATTGAAGATTAGTTTATTTATTTGAGGGTTTGAGAACTGAATCTTTTCATGTCTTTGTTCTCTTAGGCTATAGATCTGACATTGGCATTTTGGCAAAAGGCATTAACTTTATAGAAATTTTTTAAGTATGTTTCTGGTCACTGTAATCATGAATTGAAAATAAATGATATTGCTAAAAGTTATACATCTTACTGTTGTCAATTAAAGCTAACTTTTTTTACAGCTTTGGCTAAAACTAATGACTTACTTATGACTTACTAACGACTACCATAACTTACTGGTACAAAGAATATATCTTAACTTAAAGTCACATATAGTTTTAGACATTACCAGTTATTACTCCAATGAATTTGATATAAACAATTTATAGGTTACTCAATATTATTCATTATAAAGTTGCCTTTATTTGAATTCGATCCATTCAGAAATGCATTTTAATCACTTAGCTACCGATGACGTCTACACGACGTCACGATCACCCACTTTCAATTACCAAGGACATCACATTGTCGTCATAACAAAAAGTCAAGAACTTTTCTCAAATACCAAGGACGTCACATCGACGTCATATTTCAATGCTATATATTTCCTTATTCATTGATCTATAGAGAAGTTAAAAAGTGAATCGGATAGAGAATGAAATATACCGGAAATTTTTTTTTAATGCTGAGTCAGCAAAAAGCTAGGGGGCGGGGGCCCAACCCAGTGGTAGCGAAAGGGTTAAAGTGTTTGAATGAAATTACAATATGCGTCATCATTGTGAACTGACTTAAGTGAAAAACAACAATTCATAAATGAATTTCATGAACATGTTCTTTAATACTTCTGACAAAAAAAGGATATCTTCAGGGGAATAAAGAAAGAAAATGTATACTTTTCAAAATTAGCAATTATCAGCAGATGCATCATAAGGTGTTGAGTTTTGTACATATAATAACACGAAGTGTCTGATCAAATGATGTGCAAACAGATAGACCCATTTTGTCAGGGCTCCAATCAAAACTGCTGACCGGCTGAGTGGACAGAGTTACATTCTGTAACAAATCAACGGTTCCAGCCACTCCCATTTCAACCCCTTCTGAATCCTTTTTTGAACGAGCTGATGGGTATGAGCTGAGGAATATAGGAATATACCATTGCTGTAAAGTGTGGAGTTTGTATTGGTCTTAGGAATGTACCATAGCTGTAAAGTGTGGAGTTTGTATTGTTCTTAGGAATGTACCATTGCTGTAAAATGTGGAGTTTGTATTGGTCTTAGGAATCTAACCATTGCTGTAAAGTGTGGAGTTTGTATTGGTCTTAGGAATGTACCATTGCTGTAAAATGTGGAGTTTGTATTGGTCTTAGGAATGTAACATTGCTGTAAAATGTGGAGTTTGTATTGGTCTTAGGAATGTACCATTCCTGTAAGTGGTGGTTTGTATTTTTGTTGAGATAACAGCACTTCAATGGGTTCAACAAAATTTTAGTATCAACCATTGATATACTGAATTAAATTTTATTGTTAAACTGTTAATGTTAAATGCAACAGCAATCCTGCCTCAATGGAAAACTTAAAATATGATTGTGTAATAAATTAAAACTGTTCATTAAAAAAGTTGGGAAACTAATGTATTTCCATAGTCAAAAAGTTATTAAAAGAAAATGTGCTGTTATAATACATCATCCCTATAAAATAAGAAAGGTAATAATACTTTCACCTATAACAAATTATCATAGTTTAAGAATGCAGATCTTTATTTAGATTTAATAAAAAATGTGTAGAACAAGCTTACTATTTCCATAAGTTCAGGGAACCATTTCCTCCCAGTGTCATAAAAATGTCTCTGTTTTGAGGTAAGTGCCTTGCAAGCCAAACAGTAGATTTATGAGCCTGTAAACGTAAAAGGACAGTAACTATTTAATGTCTATGATGTGGTTCGATTGAATTTAATTGGCATGATGGGTATAAGTATCTCTTATATATCTGGCAAAAGATATGTATCAGATTTTTCCACACACTACATCAATTTATTTCTGAGCATTATACTTTTTGGTTTGAAGAAGTTGTCAGCATAGCATACAATTATGTCAAAACATTTTCTAAAGCTTAATATATGACTCTGACATGTGATGTACCTTCTCCACTAGGCTTGCATAGCCTTTACTTGGGTGCTGTGTTCTCATATCAAAAACATGAAACCTGGACTCTAATGTTGTCGCTACAAGTTTGTTCATCTGAATATCTTTACGATCAAATTCTAAGCAGCAAACCTGCCATGTGGGAATGAACCAGAATTGAAAATCAATATTAACAAGTTATCATTTTAGTTGTTGGAAAATTTTCAAACATTTGAAGAGGAGAACTGCTGTTTGAGGAATTATTTTCTTACCCCATTTTTAACATTGGTTTCCCACTTCAATGCCATATTCCTCAAATCAAAAAGTTTTACATCTCCATTATCATATCCAGCTGCTACACATCTGTCTGCTGCACTGTAGGAGTCCCCTGATGATTCAATTGGTTTTAGTTAAGCGCACATCATATGTTGAGAATTATACGTATTTCATTTAAAGTTTTATATATAAAGAATCATGTTTATCAAAGAACACACAAGTTTTTAACTTGTATTTGATAAAGATAAGGCCCATGTCCAATATAGTTCAGAGGTAGTTTGTAACTACTAATAGTAAGAATTTATAGTTGTTGGTTACTGAATCAGTTTTTCATGAAGATTTACATTCCCAGCAGAAATATTTTATTATTAGAATTATTTATAATACACGGAACTAGATTTTTAAAATTTTTATTCAGACACTCCCTAAATTAGAGCTATAACTTAGATTCACCAAATGCAACAGCCCAACAGTCTCGTTTTGCCTCCCCTTCTCCAGGCTCCATTGTAGCCACAGGGTCATTTTTCTGTCTAGGATCCCACACTTTAACAAGACCTTGTAAAGTTAAATATGAACAGAAAGTTAATTTTTTAATTATTTTTAAATTAATTTTACTTTTTAATACAAATTTAAATTCTTGTAAGTAAAATATTTATTGCAGAACATTTTACATCAAAATTTCTTAAATCATCAATTCAATTATAGTTTTTTTCTTTTTCTCAAATTTTTAATAAATTTTTATTGTGTATTTCAGCCAAGATTTGTAGGCAAAAATAATCAAGAGAATGAACGAAATAGTCAAGCATCTATTTAAAATAAAAGTAAATGACTTGCCATCTCTACTTCCTGTCACCAACTCGGGGGCACCTTCACCCACTCCAAGTCCACCAACCCCATCAATGCAGTTAATAATTTCTTTGTGAGCTTGTGCTGAGAAGATAGGCAGATCCAAAGTTTCTAGATCCCTGAGTATAAAATGAAAGAAAATTTCATGTGAATTCATGCACTAGTGTTTTGAAAGAAAGATAATACTTCCATGCATGTAATGACATCTTTCCATTTCTTGTTCAAGTTAGGTTTTTAAATATATAACGAAAAAGGCAATGAACTGTTTATTTATGCAATGGTTATAGAAAAAATATAGCACAAATTTAACATTTGAAATACTAAATGATATTTTTTCTTTATTAGACTTATATCATATTTTTTTCTTAGGAGTGAAACCAAAGAAAAATTGCTTACTGGAGAAGTTCAATGATTTATTTTTATGATGATCTAATTTTTTTTTTTTAATGACAGTCTTAATTCACCTTCTACACCACTTAAAATTTATTTTTAAAACTTTTTAATACAACGTTTAATACATTAGGTCCATTTGCAGAATAAATATATAAGTGGAATTCTTTTAAAGCTATTTACCATATTTGAAGTTTTCCTGAGAAATCCCCAGTGGCTAAGTGTCTGTTTTGCAAACTGGATGCTCCAAATGTACCACATTTGAAAGACTTTGATTTTTCAACCTGATAAATAAAAATTAAAAAAAGGATCATTGGAATTTTCCATACTATTTGATGTAATAGTTTACTTTAAAAAATTTAAAAAATAAAAACAAGAGAATACTTGTGTTTTTATGCATCCTTATAAGAAATAATCTTAATCCATGTCTGAAATTTCAATAAGCCACTTACAAAAATCACTCCAACACACATATAGCCATCAAACAGTTAAGGGCTTTTACAGATTTCCTTAGCTTAAAAATTAAGTTGATTTTAATAGAAAAATTTAGAAAATTCAAAAGATATTTGAGTACAGGTACAATCTAAACGGACGTACATTTTACTTTATCTACTTACATCTTTGATAACATTGACATCTCCATGAGAAACTTCATAGATTTGAATTGCCCCAGTTCCCCTTGGATAGTTACCAAGGGTAACAAACTTTGCACTGCATGGAATCCACTTTGCATCATACAATGTATAGTTTACAGATTTCTGAATGTGAAGTATGATCTGAGGTTTATCCATGAGGGAATTCTTTCTCAAATTTTATAATTGTAATTTCTTGATATTCTAAAAAAATATTGAAGAAATTTTTTAAAACAATATTTTAAAATATTTTTAAAATAATAATAATAATATCAAAGTACACTGCTAGCTAACTCTCTTTAAATCATAAAGCTTTATTAAAATATTGAATGGAAATTTACTTAGTACCACAATTTAACAACCAAATAAAAATGATATAGGGTCCTATACCTATAACAGAAGCACAGTAGAAACTTGATTGTCTGGACTCACATTTTGTGAACCAGGCCAAAAATGTAAATAACAAAATGTAATATACAAGGAAAGGAAGCATCATAATAACTGCATTTGATTCAGAACAAAGACAAGCAAATTGCTTTTAATTTTCTAGAATTTTACATAAACTTGTATTTACCTATTTAAAGAAATAAAAACATCAAACATAAAAGAAAAAATAATAATTTATGTCCTCAAATGTCCAGAGCACACCTAGTCTCAATTTAGCTTATTTTCTACTGTGCAGAAAAATAATGATAAAGTAAGTAAAGGCTAAATATTCATAATTAATCCTTGATAGTATCGGGTACCGGCTGGCACCTTTGGGGTTTATATATAACATAAAAAAATGATTAGTTTTTTTAACACTTGAGTGTTGGCTTGGGTTGCATTGAGTTAAGGATTCCACTGACCCTGACATTTCTTCAGACTGTGCAACAACAACAAACAAAAAAAAAGGGGCAGCCGTCCTAGGCACCAATCATCAGTGTTAACAAATTGTCAATACGCTCATTTAAATGTAATAAAGGAAGTATATAGAGTATATTTTCTAGCGGTGTAGATGTAAAATTAATGACATAAATACTAGTAGTTAAAATGTTAAGCTGCACAATATGGTTCACATTTGTTAACGTGATGTTATTATTATCAAAACATAATATTTAATGTCATTTCATTTTGTAAGGTGTCTTGGTCAAATGTCATAGTTATATCTATCGAAGTGTCTACACGTCCGGCGCGCCGGACAAATAGTGCGCAAGATATACGTCCGGCGGCATGTCATGTGACCGCCGGACGGCTAGTAGTTTTTATAATTCCGAACGAAGTGCGGTTTGGTGGATCTTGTGTGGTCTAATGGTAGAGTGGACGCTTGGCGTTATTATGATTTGAGGATCAATACCGGGGATCGTTTTTTTTTCCCATTTTAATTAAAAATATTTTATACTATATTTATATTATCATGTTCATCAGCAACAGTTGTTTCATGAGAAGTTTTTAAATATTTTGTAGCAATTTAAACAATTTAAAATGAAATCTTTTACTTTTATTGGTTGCCTACTCCACACTGGCCCCTAATTTATTTTATGGATTACTGGTACACAAACTCAAATAACAAACTAAACAAAAAAGTTTACAAGCCACTTTCACTTAAGTTTTTTTCTATTATTTGCATTCAAGGTACTCAGTACATTACTTGGTAGAGAAATAGATTTTAAAATTAATAAAGTTTTGAATCATTCGCAGTCAACGTGACAAGGCTGACCGACAAGATATCTTTCGCCACTTTGTTACAGCGGTCATGTGACTTGGTCACCGGACAAATAGTGCGGGAGATATACGTCCGGCGCGCCGGACGTGTAGACACTGCCTATATCTATATTATATATTTTATATGTAGGCCTATGTGCTGATTCACCAAAAAATATTTTTTTAAAGCAACCACTAGTAACTAGGCAAAATAAAAACAAATTGACTTGGACTTATTCAGGTCTATTTAAATATAGTTAGTTACACTTTTATTTATTAAGTCTAAGACTAAGTCTTATAACTTATAGACTTAGAGTAGTCTTGATTAGTTCTTCTTACTTCTGCTAGATCTAGAATATTCCTGTTGTTCTAGAGGAGTAATAGTAATAGTAGAGACAGTGAGTTAATGTAACTGAACTAAATTAAGACTATACAAATACTACGTACTACTAAGTCAAATAATGAGTAAGTGACTAAGTCTAAGTCAAGTGTAAGAACAAATTTGCTAATATATTTTGAAAACTACCACTCACAATGTTAAGTTATAACATTCGTAAATGTATTAAGTATAATTAATATTCTAAATAGAAACAAAATAGTATTTATGGATATAGTGATTAATTATGTTAAAAAATGTACATAGAAAATAACTGAACTATTTTCTTGAATCTTCTAAATCTTCATTCCATGATACCACGCCTATTTTTCACCACACAAAGAGTTACATCAAAAGAGAAACATTTTAATTTTTAAATAATATAAAAGAATTTAGAAGATAACTAAATTCAACCATCAAAAAACAATTTATCCCTCTTTATTAACATTTATTTGATTAATTTTCTCTAAAAAAGTTATTGAATAATTATAATTTTAAATCTTTTTATTCATGTAAAAATTTATAATAATTACTCTAAAGGGTTTGTAACTCCCCTGTAACTATGCATTTAAACAAAACGGCCAAGCATACTAGTACAATAAAACAGGAGAAGAGACATATAATAATAATAAAAGAAGAGTAAATAATCTTATTTAGCAAACCATTTTAAATTCTGAAACTGTCTTAAACGGCCGTCTCGTGTCTGTAATGTCACTAATCTCGACGCTTTTTGGAAAACCCCGAGGCCGTCAACATAACCGAGTTAAACTATATTACAATTAATAGTATATATTACATATAGTATATAGTATAGTATGAATGTGGCAGTAGGGCCTACAATTTAATTTAGTAGTATTGTTCCCAGCTCAACAACAAGCGACCCTAACCTCTAGGAGCTTCTGGTGGACTAGTAAATGTGCGCCCATTCAAGCTAATGGTTTATTATTATTATGAAAGTGGATTTATATAGCGCAGTACCCAAGCCTAGGGCTAGGCTCATTGCGCTTCACATAAAATTAGCAATTACAGAAACGTATACATGTAAAAAGAACAATTGGTGAAACGCTTGACCTCACCCACCCAAGTACCATCTACCCCTGTCTAGCCATGGATAACACCCACCAGAATCGAGCGTTGTTTATCAGTCAGAGGGGGTCAGAATGAGTCGGTATAGTATAGAACACCTTGAAGAGGTGGGTCTGAAGGCAGTTTTGAAGGCTGTGATGGTCGTTATAGTGCGGCTGTGTTATGGGAGAGAATTCAATTTTTATGGGGCACAGAAAAAAATCGTTCACCATATGTTTTAGTGAGTGTTCTGGGAACAGAAAGAATATGCGTGTCTGCGAAGGAGCGAAGCTTTCGAAGGGTGCAATAGACAGTAGGAAGTTCAGTAAGATAGGAATGGCAGGAACCAGAGATAAAGTTGTGCCAGAGAACAGACAGCTTGCCTGTATAGGGAGCCAATGAAGTGAGTGAAGTAGTGGAGGGAAGTGATCACGTTCTTTGCCTTTAGAACTAACCTAGCAGCCGAGTTTTGCCATTTCTGCAGTTTATATATGAAATGTTTTGGTGAACCTGACAGAAGAGAGTTACATAGTAGGCGAGAGAGATCAAGAGCACAGACTAGCGTTTTGTTGCGTTAATTGTGAGGTAGTGGCGGATGGAGCTGATCTGACGGATAGCGATGTACGCAGCGTAACAGATGTGAGAACTATGATTATTGAGAGACAAGTAGTCAGAAAGAATCTAACCCAGATTCCTAGCAGAGAATATGAACTCTATTTCGTAGCTACCTACTTGAAATGAGATGGGGGAGAACTGAGCAAGAGGATGATTTGTGATTGTAAATGAGGAGTGATTCCATTTTGTCATCGTTCAGCTTCAACTTGCTGAGAGTCATCCATGACTTGACATCACCAATGCTCTCCTGCAAGGGGTGGATAGCGGAATTGACAAGTGAGGGATGGGTATGCTTGTATAGCTGCATGTTATCTGTCCTACAGCATGCCTCCCGAGCAGGAGGAGAAGTAGCCTGGTATACACTGTGAATAGGACGAGACCCAAAACGGACCCCTGTGGCTCTCCGTACACCAAGTCAGTACCACCGGAAAGACCGCCATCAACAGCAACCGCTTGCGTTCTATCGGAGACGTAGGACTGAAACCAAGCCAAAACTGAACCAGAAAGGCCCAAATAATTTTCAGGGGTTCGGCATCTCTCTCAGGGAGTGGGTAAAATAAATATAGTCTAGTCACTATATATTCTTATCAATGGATAGTACATATAATAACTGTCTGAGCGAGGTGCTTTCGAACCCACTCCAAGCTTGCAGATCGCTGACTGGGCTCAGGCCGACTGCAGGCGCTGGTGCTATTGGGGGCACATAGGCAAGGTACCGCAGTCCGCTCCCCAAAAATCTAGTAGCTGTACAGCTTAACTCCACCGCCGGGGGTAGACGTTGCACTCCTACAATAGAAAGCAACCATTGCACATATCGGGCTTTTCAGTCTACCGCTGCACCTGCGTACAGTTCCGAGGGCTGGTAACTCTCGTGGAAAAAAACAACAACCCTCAATGCGGAGCTTGCAGAGTACAAAAAATCTTGGCGGAACAGACACTCTGACCCTAATAGTAACAAAAACTGGTTAGTCCTTTACCATGTCTTAAATTTATGGTACACCCTGAAACATGTTGTGGCTACCCTTGTATGGCACAGCAAACTTTAAACATATATTAATAGCATGGGATTTTAATGCTACATGGGGTATATGGGCTATCCAGAGAGAAACAGCTCGAGGCGCTATTAAAAAGAGGTCGAACTTTCTACCAACTTCATGAGGTTGCAAGACATGGACAGCGTCCCACTCCAAACATTTGCGTTTTTAAAACTGTTTTCTATTTCTTGTTGTCTCTTCTTTTGTCCTGTTTGCTGAAGAAGGCTCTTAACCGAACGGTGCTCTGTTTATTTTCCTGTCTTTCTATTTTAAACTTACACTTACCTTGTTCCATTATTTCCTTCACACAGCTTGAACTCAGCCCTTCATTTATTATGCAGTCAACAGTGCCTTATCACGACGGACCTCACTCTATGTGTCGGCAGAACTAGAAGCACAAGTGAGGTTCAGCGTGCTCTCTGAGATTGTTAGCGACCATCGTCCTATACTCATCGCTATTAATATCGGGTTAGAAAAGGCAAGGTTTGCTAGGAGGCACTGACTTTTCGGAAAAGCCGAAAAATACCATATTCCGCAAAGGAATATAATCATGATCGTGAGATCAGCTGGGATCCCCGAAAACTCCGAGACTATTGATGTTGTTTACAACTATAATCATAGCCCCGCGAGGGCTATTTTAAATTTGGCAAAAAAGACCATAACAAGGACATGCGGTAATCGCAAGTTCCGACCTTTCTGTGTCAAAAGGTTGGAGGAGCTCGTCTGTAAAGGGGAAAAAAAAAATAAGCCCAGGCCAAAGCTGGAATACTGAAGACGGCAGCAGCTCGCGCTGCTGACAAAAAGTTGACGGCGGAAGTCTGGGGGGGGGGGGGCGCTGTCATCAAGACAAAGAAGGACAACTGAGGTGGGACGTGCGAAAAAGTCAACCTGACAGACGGAAAAAAAGTTTGGTGACTAATTCATTCTATCTCTGCCATGAAGAAAAAAAAAAAAAGACTTAAGATCCTTGCAAACGAGGACAGGTACGGTTACATCAGATGCCCGAAGTACCGATGCCCTTAATCAGGCATTTTGCTAAGGTGAGTTTTAAACAGAGAGAGAGACCAACGAAAGCCGAAAACTTACCCAACTCAAGAAGCGTGGAGAGAACGTACTGCAGTGGGGACTTCACGCTGAAGTCTCCACCTTACCCTTTACTCTGCATGGTCTAACTGCAAAAATCGATCGATACGTGCAAAGTTGCCAAGGCACCAGGACAGGATAAGATCTGTAATGACATGGTCAAAAACCTTGGCGCGACAGCTAGGACAACGCCAATGAGCATCATGAACATATCATGGGCCCTCTGGAGCCCTGACCAGAGCTTGGCTAAGTGTTACAATCGTTCCTATTTCCAAAGAGGAGGAAAAACAAAACGATCACCCAAGCAGCTACCGTCCCATCTCCCTACCATTTGTCTAGGGAAGGTAGCTGAGAGAGTATCCAAAAAGAGACGTTATTGGTACCTGTAAAATACCAACTGTCTAAACGCAAATCAGGCGGGCTTTCGAAAGGGAAAGCAGCCTATAGACAAGGTGCTCTGTCTTCTCCAGCCCGTAATAGATGGTCTCCAGATAAAGTCCCATACAGTGGCAGTATTCTTTGACCATTCGACAGGTCTGTGACAGGATCTGGAGGTACGGTTTATTATTAAAGTTACAAGGCTTAGACGTAGCTGCGAACATGTACAATTGGCTCGCCGGTTTTCTTAAGAACTGAACGATCGACACAAAATTCGGCAGTGAAACCTCGAAGAAGAGAACTTTAGAACAAGGACTTCCACAGGGGTGAGAGATCAGCTCATAGCTGCACACTCTTCCTCGTGTATATCAGTGGTCCCCAAACTTTTTATCACCGCGGACCGGTCAACGTTTGATAATTTTACCGCGGCCCGCTGAGGGGTTAGGGGGGGGGGTGTTTATTTTTCATATTTTGAATTGTTTTTATTTATAATTTGGTTTCCGTTGTGACTGCCCTCTTTGCCCCATTCTCATGGCTGGTGCCTGAGGGCAACATGGCACCCAGAGTGACGCATAATATTGGGACCACTGGGCTGGCCAAACTGTCGGCGGTATAAACACGCGACTCATAAAAAAAAAAAAAATTCATGTGAGTCACAATTACCCATAAAAAAAAATTGTTTGATGTCTTTGTTTTTTTAAAATAGGGATGGACTGCCCTCTTTGCCCCATTCCCAGGGCTGGTGCCTGAGGGCAACATGGCACCCAGAGTGACGCAAAATATTGGGACCACGGGGCTGGCCAAACTGTCGGGGGTATAAACACGCGACTCAAAAAAAAAAAAAAAATTCATGTGAGTCACAATTACCCATAAAAAAAAATTGTTTGATGTCTTTGTTTTTTTAAAATAGGGATGGAGGGTGGGGGAGTGTCTACCCCCCCCCTCTCAAAAAAAAATCCAGCACAACAACCCTCTTCCCCCCCCCTCCTGTATTGTTCCGTTTGCTGTGAGCCTTGGTGTCCGTAGGTCCGTACTGATCATCCAGAAAATCTGGTAAGCTTATAAAATGGAAATAATTTAATGTTTCTTGGGCGGCCCGGTACCATTTGATCCACGGACCGGTACCGGTCCGTGGCCCGATCAATGATCTGCCAAATTTGTTGGCGACCAATACAGCCATTAAGTGGACGATGTGGCAACATGAAGTGCCGGCAAGGACGCCAACGGACTGCAGGAGCTTCTACAGCGAGACCTATAAGCTATCAGTAGGTACTTCTAGTGGTGGCAAATGGAAGGAAACACCAAGGAGGCGGTCTATTCACAATTTACAAACGGTCGGACCATTCTCAAGCAGTAGGTCGTGCTCAATGTGAACGATGTAACGTTCAAATGGGACAAGGAACTGGTTTACCTGGGAGTCAAAATAGATCAAATGGTACAAATGCATAATTTCGCCCAACACCTGCAGTTCCAGGCAACCTCTAAGCCCAACTGGGTGAAAAAGCTGACATTCACGAATTGGGGCACCGGAGCAGGAACACTCAGAGCTCCATTCCCGAGTAGTGTCAGGTCGAATCAGTGATGGACTACAGCATGCCCGCCTAATCCTTTGAAAGCAAAACTGCTTTAGAAAAATTAGGCCGAATCCAGAATTAGGCTCTGAGATTCATCTGTGGTGCATTCAGAACAACACCTGCTTCCAAAATGCAGGGTGGCAGGGAGTAGATTGAAAAGGTCCTCCTTTATGCTCCAAGTTGTAGAGCTTGAAAGGACTGTCAAACTGCCCAAAAAATAGAGAACAACTGACCACCTATCCCAGTTATTCGGCCACATGCGGGACCTTTCCGTCCTGATACACGTTTGGCTTTGAATAGTTTGAATGACACGGCAGTGACGAAACGCGACACTGCACATGTTCAGAAACCGGCTGCCCTTGAGACAGTTGAAGGGTTTGTGGAATCCTCAGTGTCAACCTGAGAGAAATAAATGAGGGGGTTATGGTGTGCTCATGCTATACCCAAATGGAGGGCCGCCTAATAAGGAACTTTCAGGGACTGCAGCATTGAATTTCGGTTCAATTAAGTCAAACATCTTCAAAAGTTCATGTCTTGCATGAATAAGACCTGGTGCAGGTGTGCCACAGTAAATCTGGCATTGGTTTCAATGGGGGACAGGAGGATCCCAAAAGAAAGCCAAAGTGATTCCATTTCTACGACAAAGCTTCTTTTTGTACATTTGTTAACATTTACAGACAATAGGTTAATGTATAGAGTAGATTATCAATGTGTAATCATAAGAAGAATAGAGAAATAGACAATAAGAAATAGAAACCAAAACAACAAACCACATACAAATAAAATTGTACAGTTGTACAATTCAAAAGTAAGACTTGATTTTGATTTTAGACACATCACATTTATTGATCTTATACGAAATGTGAAATTGTACAGTACCACTGTGGCAAAATAAATTTCACTAACAAAAATGTTTAGAGCATTAAGCACATCAGAGTCTAAAATATTACATCTTAAAATATAAACCAGTGCTAAAAAAAAAATCTGTTTCAAGTACATTTTGTTTCTACTTTTTATCCTTTGGTGTCAAGTTATGGCTGTTTCTCCCTTCCATTACAAAAAGGGATATAGCACAGTTTCTATGATTTCAATTTACAATTAAGGGGGGAAAAAACGAATTTTTACACTAAAGATAGAATTATCTTTTTTAAATTTTTTAAAAAAAAAGGAAAATGAAAAATAGGAAATCTTTTTTTTTTGTTCATTGAACACCCCAGCCCACCCCTGAAATGTAAAGGAATATTGGTATTCTCAATTCTTATTTCCAGGTGTTGATTTCATTTGCACACAAGAAAAATGCTAAGACATCAAATGGGGAAAAAAATATTACCTCTACATACTGCCCACAGATGTGACCGACCGAATCAAAAAATGTACAAGTTAAAGACTAGGAAGGGAAAAATATCAACCTTGAATTGAAAATACAATGGATTAAAGAAAAAACTGAAATAATTTTAGTGTGGTTAAGTTAAAACTTTTAATAAGCATTCAAAATAATTACATTTGACCTTTTCCGGAATAATGCTGACATTTCCTGTCAGTTTCTGTAGTAGTAATATTTTTCTAGATTAAAATCCTGTCGTTGTAACGGATGAACTGATTTGGCTTTCAGTTTAAATTTCCACTAAGAGAGTTGGAAAAAAACCCCACCAAAACTTAATGCCTGATCCCCAACACCCCTGAAAGTAAATTATGAAAAGTTGGATGTTTAAATTCTAAATTCTTTCTGGAAGAAATGTTTATTGTATGGATTAAGAATACCCATGAGATCAAAGGAGTCATTGAAAAAATGCCAGATTGGCCATAAAATATTGCCTAATTCCTCATGATAAAATCCAATTTTTGGTATTTTACGGGCATAAAGGATTGCTTGGATCTAAGAAAATGATGCCATCAGTGATAGAAATATTAACAATCAGCAAATATTAAGCAACAAAGTAATGATATACAATAACTCATCAACGCTACAAACTTTTGATGGTGCATTGTAATGAAGTTAAAATGATGGCCAGATATCATTCAAAAGCAAATTCAATAATTAATAAAAAGCACCATCCTGTTCTGGCATATATATGCAAACTTGATATTATTTTCAAAGTGTTTAGGAAATACAATATTCAATATTAAAAAAAAAAGAAGTTGCATTTTATTCCTAAATAATGCCTATTTAAGCAATAATGATGTTACAACAATCTTGTACACCTGGCAAACCAATATCATGATTTAAAACAAACCAACTGCAAAATGTTAAACATTTATCACATGATAGAGTAAGAGGGAAAAAGGTGCATCAAACCATTCATGTACAATCAACTGTCATCCATAACCTTTTCAACAGAACCTGACAGTACATTGATAATTTAGAGGCTTATGGAACAATCTGCCAAAACATTGGAAATGTTATATTTACAACTAAATTACTATAACTTTAAAAAATTAAACACTCGTTAAAAAAACAACAAAAAACAACAATGAGCTGAAATAACTATCTTCTTTGAAAAAAATACCTTAAAGAATTAAAACAAATTGAGCATTTGAAAATAAAAATTTTTAAATAATAATTTTAGATAGCTCTATCTTTACAATTATTTAAGTAAAACTAACAGAGGGAGGGCATACTTAATTGAAATAGGTAAGTTAAAAAAAAACACAAACTAGTCATCATCCACTTATCAAAAGCTTAATTTAATCATTTTACCAGTGCAATATGAAGTTAAAAAAAATAAAAAAATTAGCAGTATTTAGATTAAAATATTCATTTTAAAAAGTTGTTGGACATGATTGATAGGTGGTTCATTTGCATGGCTTTTTCACTTTCACTAATAGTTACAAAACATGCACACAGAAAAAGAAAATTGTAGGTATATTTGGCTTTATAGAAATCTACAGTAATACTTGTGTGCTTTTGATTAATGGAAAGTCCTAACTGATCAAATGTAGTTTGAATGAAAGAACTAAAATACATCAATCAAATGTAAGACAGTAACCAAAATAATGATCTGAAGGAAAAAAGAGTGCACCTGTTAAATAAAAGAATCCTGTGAATTAGCAAAGAAAGACAATATACTGAAAGGAGAAAAAAGTCTATCCTTCACTGTTGCAAAGTTAAGCTATTATACATAAATAGCTTCAACTTTTATTGGCCTAACATTGCAAAACACACATTGGTTTTAAAAAAAAAAAAAAACAGATTCCTTTTAATACAGTGTAAACCTAGGGCTAAAATTGTATAATTTAAAAAAGAGTGCACATGTTAAAAAAAAGAATCCTGTGAATTAGCAAAGAAAGACAAAATACTGAAAGGAGAAAAAAGTCTATCCTTCACTGTTGCAAAGTTAAGCTGTTATACATAAATAGCTTCAACTTTTATTGGCCTAACATTGCAAAACACACATTGGTTTTAAAAAAAAAAAAAAACAGATTCCTTTTAATACAGTGTAAACCTAGGGCTAAAATTGTATAATTTCTTTAAAATAATTCTCCTTGTCAAGTAGTACACACTATGGAATATAACAGCCATCAAATCACACATGCCACATGCTAATATAAAGCCAATTACAAAGAAGAAATATCAGCTCTTGAAAACGAAAATAGTCATATGTTAATGACAGTGACAGCAATATTGTGTATTATTAAGTTTAACCATCCCTGCTTTTCCAAATGAGGAATAACACCATAATGTCTTATGTTAAACACAAACATTTCAAGTTTGTGTGTTGACGTTGTAAAGTGGATGACAGTTGTGACATTCATTTTCTTGAGGTCAAGTAGACATTTCTGGGTAACTTTACTCTTAACAAATTTTCCATACTTCCTTCTGATGACATAAGATAATTAAATCACTTGAAATTCTAAAATGAATATTAACTAGTCTCAAATATATGCTGTGGTATCTCCTTCAGAAATTTCCTAAAGTGTCAGGTTTGGTCTAGTTGAAACTGAGGATTTGCTGTCATTCCTGTTGTCTGAACATCTTGCAACTTATTGAGCTTTATCCTTCTTCTTCAAAAATGGCAGCTTACTTTGAATACTGCAATAAAAGAAAATAAAAGCATTATTGCAAGCTGCAAACACAATTAAAAGGAACTCCAAAAATAATCTGTCTTTCAAAATCATACTCAAAATTTAAAAGAAGTTTTATGCAGCCAAAATAATTACAAATTAAAAAAAATGAATTCAAATCCACCTTTTTCCAATTATACTTTTTCAAATGTCAATACTTTGACTGGGACTAGATCCATATTCTTTATCTCTATTACTATAACTAGAGCTAGATCCATTGGCATTACTGTTATTTCAGTCTAGTACAAGGAATATGGATGAAATCATCTTCACAGATAATTTAATTTAAAATAAGTTCAATTAAATTAGGTCTATGTTTTTTATGTGTCTGGATTGGCTGGCATCCAAAATGATGGTGAAAAATAATTGAAGAAAATGTTCAATCTATTCCAAAACAGGAATAGTGATGCAAACATAATTTTTTTTTGTCTGTTCTTTGGATATGAATGTTACCTAGTGAAGTAATTAACTAATTCATGAGTTCACTTACATGTTCAAAACATTGTTGACTTGTGCCTTGGCCAAACCAAAATAATTATCAATTTGCACCTGGTAATAGAGAAATAAACATTTAAAATCATGTTTCAAAGAGTAATGTTAAAGCAGAATTAATGATAATACTACTTCTACAAGGACTAAAACAGTTTTACAAAAATAAAACGCAGTCAAATAATTAAAACAAGTGTTGTTTACTTTTCTTTAATCAACCTGAGTTAAATCTTAAAAAGTTAATGTGATGAATAATGCAGATGCACCGCAAAATATTGTTAAATATGAATGACCTAATGCATTATACAGTAAGAATGTAAAACCTTTTAGCTTCCCTGGGCCATATTGTAAGAAGAAAAGTTTTTGGGCCACAAATTAAATACACTAACACTAACGATAGCTAATGAGCAGTAAAGAGTAGAATATCTGATAAATAAATAACATAATTAAGAAATTGACGCTTCATGGATTCATTTAGCAACATGAAATTAATGAGATGGAAACCAATGCTTTGATATTTGGCTCGACGGAAGCAGTTGAAATTCTCAGTAAGTTTATAAGATGCTAATCAGATATTTTGGTTCTAGTTTTATTGTTTGTGTGCTTCATCCTTGAAAATAGCTGCTCACAAATGCAGGTGCTTCCAAATAGCGATGACACGAATAAGACATGATTTTGAAGCCAAGGATATTTTTATCTAGGAAGATATATCAATATGCCGAAGACGTTCAATGAACCTTTCAGATCTTCTTCACGTCTCACCTACATAAATTTTGCTGCCTTTTCGGCAAACAATCATATTGATCACATTTCAATTGATACATGTGAAGCCAATGTGTTCAGTTTCTTGTAGGGCAAGTACTACAAGTGCTTATTGAAAATATATGTGGACTAAAAAACAGCTTTTGAAAGCATAAACATGTATGCATTTAAGGAACTTGGAGTCCTTAACAAACTTTCCCGGCTTATACATGACGATGGCTATTTCCACAAGTAGGATCAACTTACAGGGAGAGTACTCAAGGGAGTTCCTGATTAATCAGGGCCTCAGACAAATAGACTCACTATCATGTATCATGTTCAACATCATATTAGAAAATGTTAGAAACCATTGAGTACCAGTGGAACTATTGCAAACTACTTGAGCCCCAACCATCAGGAAATTTATATAGCGGCCCATTTAAGTGCTTGGCATATGCAAACCACATAGCTCTACTGGGCAGAAACAGCAAAGATATAATTAAAGCATTCAAGGCACTAGAACATGCATCAGTTTAATCTGGTCTTGAGGTAAATGAAGCAAAGACAAAATATATGGTAAAGTCACAAGACATGCATAAAGAAGACAACATCAATTTAAGCAACCACACCTTTGAGACAGTGGCTACTTTCAAATATTTAGGAGCTTCTATCAATGAGCATAATGAATTAATGACAGAGGTAAAAGAAATTAAAACAGAACACAACCATACTTATTTACAAAAGCTACTAGGCAGCAAAAACCTCTCAAGGAGAAAAAAAGAAAGCCATATACACAACTATATGTAGCCGAGTGGTGACATGGCTTACAGTTTAAATAAAATCACAATAAAACAATCAGGTGTGAGAACTATAGCTTTTTAATGTAAGGTACAATTCCTTGACAGAGCCGACAGGAAAATCTCTCACACCTGCCGCCGACCCGACGCATACGTTCCACACCACAATCTCAAAATGTGCACACTCCAAGTCCCAGTTCGCCCCCCTTCTATCTCACACAGTCCCAGGGAACCCGCGTCACGAGCTGACCATGGGTCAACCCCGGGCCAGGGATGGTTGTTCCCGCGTGTAGTTAACCAAACATAAAATTTAAGGCCAGTACACAGCTGTGTGTTACTTGAAATGACCATGGATGTGTACGTGCTTGGGGTTACCCACAGCAGTCACACTATGACTATGAGAGTGGATTCTCTTATTCCTATCTCTTGCATACTGCCACATATAAAATGTTAGCTAAATGCAGTTGCAAATAGTGGCACATTGCCACATATAAATGAGACCAGTTGTAATTTACGCAAGTGAGACTTGGTCCCTTACCAGAAAAGTAGAGAACCTTCCCAAAACATGGAAGAGGAAAATACTCAGTCCAGTGATAGACAATGATGGATGGATAATCCGTACAAACCAAGAGATATATCCATTGTTCAAAAACACACTCATAGTCGCAACAATTAAAAAGGAAGACTATGCTGGACAAAACACAGTGAGAGTATGCCAGATTGTAGAGCAACAAAAGTGATTTACAGGCAGAAATCTAGGGGCAGATGGCTCACAGATTGACCAAGACTGAGATGGATTAATGATGTAGAGCAGCGTTTCCCAAACTTTGGTGTCAGATTTATTAATTACATTTTCTTTCTATTTAAGCATCAATATTCATGCTCTCCGGACCGGTAACGTAAGGCTTGCGGACCGGTGCCGGTCCACCGTTTGGGGAACGCTGATGCATAGAGGACTAATGTCAGCTGGGGGTCGGCGCATGGAGGAGGAAAGTCATGGATTGATTTGAATGGCAGGATGTGGTGGAGCAGGCCAGGGCCCTACATGGGCTGTAGCACCACTGATGATGAATACTTCAGATACAAATTCCAAATTAATCTGCACAGATGGCATCAGTACTTTTGTCTATCGCCAAAGCATTAAATTCAAGATTAGCAGACACGCCCAAAACTTTTTATAGATTTTCCTCTTTCAATTATTCGCCCGTCGATGGTCTGGTGAAACAAACCAGGGCAAATTATATCTGCAATGCTTTCAATATACATTGTTAAATGCCCCTAATATTTTAGTGCATTAAATGTCCTACCATATAAGACATGGGAATTAATACACACTTGTTCTACAGCTTTTACCTACCTTATATGTTTCATACACCTTGGGCAAAGTGAAAAGAAGGACAAGGCCTGTAATAAAATTATAGTTAAAACAGATTTAAAAGATTGGTCGTATATTTTCATTTATATTAAAAACAGAACTTTCTAAAGTAAACAAAAGCGCATTAAACACATCTTGCAAATGTAAAGACTTATCAGTGAGTATTTAGAATGCACTTTTAATAATTAATGACATAATCTATGGATGACTCAAGACAAGATGTATTAATGTTGACAACAAGGATCTCACCCAAGACAATGAGAAACATTCCACTGAACCAGGATCCAATGTAGGTGAGAGCCCACAAGAGCAATCCAAACTGAAAATTTCAAATGTGACTATTATTGAACTTTTGTATCAGTATTGGAGATTTTCAATTAAAGATGTTTAAACGTGGTGTGCTAAATACTTCATTGTTTAAACCTGGTGTGCTAAATACTACATTGTCTAAAGTGTGCTAAATACTACATTGTTTAAACCCAGTGCGCTAAATACTACATTGTTTAAACCTAGTGTGCTAAAGACTACGTTGGTGCTAAATACAGCATTTTTTAAACCTAGTGGGCTAAAGACTACATTGTTTAAACTAAGTGTGCTAAATACTATATTGTTTAAACCTAGTGTGTTAATACTACATTGCCAAAACTAAGTGTGCTAAATACTACATTGTCTAAAGTGTGCTAAATTCTAAATTGTATAACTCTTTCCGTGCCAGGGGGTTTTCCACGTTTGTGCCAGACCAGTTTTAGGCCAATGGAAATTGTTTAGGGTGCTCTTATCTATTAATTAATGTTGAATACATTTCTTTTATCAAGATAGCTGTATTTCATATCAAATTAAAGGAAATTAGACAGAAAATACAAATATGTAACAAATAAAACAATATGACAATAGTTTACATTTTTTTTAAATGGGCACAAAATCTGAACTTATCAAACTACCATATGGTCTGTGTAGCTTGTATCCTATTATGCTTCAATCTTCAGAAAGTATATCCATTTTTGATGAGGATGCATTTTACATTTTGAAAATATTCCATTTATTTACAGACTTGTAAACATTTTTGTAACACTAATGTCAACCGAAGAAAACAGTTACTTTGCATATGCATATATATACAAATGTCAAACACATTATTTACACAATATATTATTTTAGTTCAAATTTCTTTCTGTGTGGTACTTTCTAAAGCACTCCTTAACACGCAGATGAGGCCTTCCTGTGCATATGATGCACACATGGCAGCTGTGTTTGATTATTTTGTGCAATGAACATTATTCTCACTGTCGCTCATGCCGGTCATAGTCAACTAGGTGCTCTTTTTCACTGAGATGCTCCTCTGCACTGTTGATGGACTTTTTCCCTGACTTTGGTTGGGTGGGCATTAGGGCAATTTGTGTTTCTGGGTGCTGGGCTTTAGAAACTCCTACCAGCTGCAGAATGAGTTGCTCCTTGAACTTTGCGAAGGAAACTGGTTTTCGATCTACCGGTTGGGTCAAACTATAGAGAATGTGGCTGTTGACTTGTGCCACTCAATGATCCAAATGAATATCTTTTTCCGCCACTTTATTGTTTTGCCACCGTGGCAGCCATAATATGATACTTGCTGGTCAACACGATCACAGCCATTCATCAACATATTATACTTGTCAATGACCTCAGGCTTCACAACTGTCTGATGCCCCTCCACTTTCTCAATGTATCCCACCTTGCCACAAGTTGTCACCATTAAGCATGTTTTTTTTTTTGCTTTCTTGTCCCGCCATGAAACAGCCAAAACAATTTTTTCTTCATTGGAATGCCACACTGCCTCTTTATGTGCCAGTCTTTGAGTTTTCCAATCAGGTGGAAAATCTCGGCGAGCTGTTTGAACAGTGCTTTTGTCTGCAGATACTGTATGAGAGCTGCTGTGGTACTAACCTGTCTGCATAGATTTGGTAATGAGGCTGCTGCATGGGTTGCAGAAGGGTATCAAACACTTTTATTGCTTGTCCAGCAATTGGATCAAAGTCAGGATTATATGCTGTGTTCTTGTCAAAGTAGATCAGCAGATTGATGACATAATCTGTTGTTGAGTCACAAAGCCCGAATGTTTTGATATGGTACTTTGCAGCATTGAACGGCTTGTGTTTGAAGCGACCTTTGTATCCAATGACCATTTCATTTATGCTGATATTTTCATATGGATAAAAAAAATTTCCTACCCTGACCCAGGAGCTTTGACACAAAGGGCTCAATCTTAGCAGCTCCTTGCGCATCAGACTCAGAAGCATGCAGCATCGTGTGGAAAAGCAGACGAAATTCATTTCTTGAAAACATTTGTCCATACCATGGTATGTATTTATAGCATTTTGTTGACCAATAGTCACTGATTTGGGGCCTTTGGTCCATTCCAATATTTATCAGAACAGCTAAGAACTTCAAAAGATCAGGGCGTATTACAATTTTCCATTTATGAAGATACGAGTGTTCTAAAATGGGTATACTTTTTTTAAAGGCAGCAAATCATAAATAATTTTATCTGTTATTATTTGTTTTAAAAAATCACATGGAGTGGCATTTTGTGGCAAATTTAGATGTGGCCCACTGTCAACCTCCCTAAAATGAAATGAAGCACGAACCTCTGCACCCTCTCTTGCCTTCCTCCAGTTATTATTATTTGACTGACCACCTGTGTCACCAGCATAGCTAACAGTAGCAGCTATGTCTCTTCCTGATCCTTTTCTTCCTGCATCTTTCTGCCTGATCTCCGACTTCTCTTTGCAGGAACAGGATTATTCTTATCTGAATCCTCTCTGTCACCACTATTATTATCACCTTCTCTATTTCCATCTACCGACTCATCAGTATCAGAAAGCTGATAATCATCACCTGAATCAAATTCAAACGATCCATCGTTATTGTCTGATTTTTCAACATTGATTATTTGTAATAAAAGCTCTTGAGCCTTCAAACTTGACAGCCTACGTGGTCTGGTAACACTTGATGTACTTGGAGTAGGCGTGGCCATTGCTTTGTTTACAAAAGTTTCAACACAAAAACATGAAAAAAGATCGCAATTATTAGAAAAACACATGTAAACAAACACTACTTCCAACAGAAAGGAAGTTGGAAGAGTTATCCTTCATTTAAGAGCATAAAAAGTCGGATTGATAGCCGCAGGAAGCAAAATTAACTATGTAAACTATTCAGACAACATATCGTGGGTTGGCATAAACGTGACCAGTCAAATCGACGATATATCGGGGCTTAGCACGGAAAGAGATAAAAATGTTTTTAAAAAGACTTAGCTTGTATTTACATTTAGTGAGAGAAAATTTAGGTATATTACTATAAAAAAAACTTCCTTACTCATACCTTAATTGAATCAACAATGTCCTCAATAAGGAAGAGACGTCTTAATTCATTAGTTAAGCTGTTGACATTTTTTAGGATGCTCTGAATGACACTCTTCAGTTTCTGTTCACTTAACTCAATGTCCAGCTCCAAGATGGTCCTAAGAATTGCAAAAGAAAAGTTATTTTTGTTTCAAGTATTCAGAATCAAGTTGATTGATATGAGTTGCATAAAGCATAATTTGCACTAATAATAATATACTTTGAATCAAGGCAATAATGCATTGTTTTGTCTTTACAAGTACTTTCAAATTTAAAAAAAATTACCCTTGAGCACTTATAAAGCAAATAAATGAGAGGATACAAAAAAATTAAGGAAAATCTTATTACAATGACATTTTTTCAATGCAATATTTTGTGAAAAGCTTTTTCTATGTACACATGTATGAAATGCATATTTAATTTGCATCTGAGCTTCATTACAGAAAAAACTTTTGGATGTACAAAAAAAACTACAACACCAATGGAAGATAAAATAAAAGCTTTTAGTTGGCAATAATATGGTAAAACAAATGACTGAATATATTAAATTTTGTTTGACATCTTTTAATATGACTTTAGCTGGAATGTTTGAAGGTGAATTATGAATCTAATTCAGAGAGCTGTAGTTTTTGTACTTTTTATTAAAATTTAAATTTTGATGTTTTGTGTCAAGTGTGCACTCACAATATCAAAAAATGTTAAAAACTAAAATGAGTTAAAATAAACTGGTTTTGATGAAATTACATTTTTATATTAGGCATATTTACATTAAGAACTTTTATCAGACATTGATCAATTCAAAATATATTGTGCATTGAGCTTATCTATCCAAGAGTGCTATGTATCATTCTTTAAATTTGTATGTAAGGAATAGATTATTATAGTTATTAAACACCATAACAGAAAATTAGAGTCAAAAGAGATTCTTTTGAATTTTAAAATGGAGTTCATATGTAAAAAAAATAACCTGTCTTTATAAAAAAAAAGGTATCCATATGCTGAATGTCTGGACATTTTAAATCACAGATACACTTTTTAACAAGAGAAAACATCTTTTCTAAATCCTTACTTGAAAGGATGTCCTTCACTGGACTTTTGGACAGCGCCCATGATCTTTTTGTAGACCACGAAGCTGAAGGTGACTGTCAGGACGGCCAGAGACAAGTAGGCAATGACACTTAGGAGAGAGAAGACAGCCAGAGACACCAAGATCATCAACAATGTTCCAAACACAATACCAGTTTTCTTCACATCTCGCCAGTAGATCAGGTCTTGAACTGAAAAATTGACAATATAAAGAAATGCAATAAATAATTCACAGATCCAATGTCTCTCAAAATTTATCATTACCTTAAATAAAATGTTCTGTAATAAAACCAATGTGATATGTTCTCAGAGCTTTTTTAAAGGAATTAATATTATGCCATTATTGGTGGTATTTTTAAGGCCTTTAATAAAAAAACAATCTGTTATAGTAATGCTAAATTTTTGTCACATCATTTGTTAAATTAAAAAATGACTCATGTAATGCTAAGTATATGTAAAATACAAAATTACTTAACAAAAAAAAAGGAGAATTTGAAAAAAAATTAATTAAATATAGACATCTTATGATAAAACAATACATTTTTTTAAAAGCAGAACTTAAGCACAACGCAAGAAAGTTAATCTAACTTATACAATGGTGCCATCACCTAAAGTAAATGCACAGTAGGGGGAAAAAAAGTAAATAATCACTATTTGAAATAAGCAAATAGCCATCTCATAATTTCCTTGAAGTCAAATAAATTATATATCCTCCATTTTTAACCTAGTTAATAAATGGCTCTTTTCTTTTATGTCTATCGCCTTCACTTGAAACTAAATAATTAGGAATATTACTGAACATTCTAAAATGTGAATAAAATATTTAAGAAAATGAAGGAGTAAGTTATTACATTTAAATTTCATTTTAGTTATATACTATGCAGACCTGTTTACTCTTACGATTTTGGCGTACAATGTACGATTTTCAAGTGTAAAAATATATACTTTATGCTTATTTTTTACTCTAAATATAAGGTATTGCACAATTTTGTGATGATATTGTACGATTTTAAGAGTTTGAGGGTGAACAGGTCTGTACTATGTACCCTATGGAGATATTTATGATACATTCGTGTAAACCTTATTCAAGTAAAAATACACTGATTTTTTGTATAGCTCTTTTTCTATGTTGACCAAGTACTGATAAGATCAACAATATTTAAAAAAATTAATTATCTTTTTTTTTTGTTTTTTTGAAGTAACTCAAACTAAAAATTAATGGGTTCAATTTTATAATAATATAATAAACAGGATCTTTGAACTTGCTCAATGTAATGGAATTTTCAGTCAGAAGTCAACATCCCAGCATGTTTGCTTTATTTAAAATGCTCATCAACAAAGAACTCTAGTATAGTTATTAACTGCAAACAACCTCTAAAAGTGCTTTGGTGAGGTTCTTTTTTTAAAAAAAACCTAAGATAGTCAAGCATTCATCTCATGTAAGACATTCATGTTGCAAATTAAAGTGTCTATTAGAATATATCATTAAAGCCTTCAAGATATTAATTAAATTGAGAGAATCTGATATCCCTTACTTGACAATGTTTCAGACAAGTTTCTATTAATGTACAGGAAATATTGTTTTGTTTAAAAAAATACTCTTAATTTTAGAGTTTTATTGCACCTTTTTTTAACATGTTTACAGCATTATAAGGTTAGAGCAGATAATTGTGACTAGAATCAACTAAGGGAAACAAAATAGCATATCATAGTAAAATCTTATCATGACATGTATAAGGCATAGGTGAATAGTTATTTTCATGTTTCTTCTTTCCTATTAACAAAGCCTTTCAGGGGTAGAGTGAGGCACAAGCAAGTTAATTTTTCGATGGCACCATTTAGTTTAAAAGGTGCCCACGCGACGGCTCTGTCCCCCCCCCCCCCCCCCTCACCCCCTTTCCACCCCCCAACCTCCCATTGTGCCTGCCTATTATTGAATTGTATGAGACCTCAGTATGCAGCTGACCTAAATTTCTCAGTATTTTCATGAGATAATTAAGTTCCAGTAGTCAGTACTGCCTGCCCATATGACTCAGCTGATATACGATGCAACCTACAACTAATCGCTAAACTAATACCGGCGCAAATCACGCAGTTAAGTCGTGTGGGGCAGTGGTGCATTTGACCTTGGCAGTTGGTCTATTGATAAATGGCGCATTTCAAGGAGAGTGAGGAAAACAACGTATTTATCTCCCATCACAATCCTAAGGCCAAAAGAAAACATTGCAGTCAACAACCACGGTGTCTTTGTAGAAAGGGGAGGGCGCCTTATCTCTCAAATAATTTATTTTCACAGCATTCATACAGCCTCATTTATAATTAAAAATCTGGACATAATGGTGCACAATGCACCAGTCAACTAGCCAACATTGCATCCCCACAATCACCATAACGTGCAGTGTTACAACGTTGCTGGTTGATTGGACTATTGGACTTGAGGGGGAGTAGGGCGTAAAGAGCCACTTGATAGTCACGTGCTAAATACTAACATCCCAGCGGCTCTCAGTGTGTGATTAAGGGTCGTGTTAGGTCCCCAAGATCCCCTGGTTAAGTTAATCAATTATTGAATTGAACAAGAAAACAGCAAATAGATGCCAAATTAACTACGTTTACAAGGGTAGAATTGGTAAATCTCTATTTTTTAAATTTTATTTTTAAAGGAAACTGGTTTATTATAAGGTCAATTAAAAACGAATTTTTATTTCAAGTTCATAATCTTTTAATTTTTTTTTTACCTTTCCTCTTTGTTATAATATAGACATTATAGTATTGTGTTAATATATTAACCGATGAAGACATGTACTTGGCAAAATTTTATAACTTTAAAAAAAAAAAAAAGCTTCACTCATAATACACTATTAGTACTATTAGTTTGTCACACATGCCACTATTTATGTAAATAACTACAAGCTACACTTTTGAGAACCTCTTCCCCAGCGTCCCTCACCTTGAACCCGAGACGACGCACTTAAATTAGTTGACACGATGTAATTGAATCTGTATTCGTAGTCTTTTCTTTGTGGAAATACGGCATTGTTTGTGATGTAGATCGTAACATAACTGTGAAATGTGCCACGCTCTTCTTAATTTAAACTATCCATTTGTGTCCATAGATAGACATATGTCCTCAGACCATATGCATTTCAGTGTATCACTTTCCAACAGTAGTAAGTTGTTCGCACGAGTAGGCTTGAAAAGGCAGTTCAATTTCATGTATCTGTATAAAATCGATGATGTATATGAATAACTACAAATTAAGCAACGGAAGTTGGGGAATAATACAAGAGTGCACATTAGTACAAGGCAGAGCCAGTGAGCACTTTAAAATAGCATGGACACTAGCGCTATGCAACAAGTAATCAATCATCATCATCAACAAATGATAATTGGTTTAAGTGTGCGTGGGAGAGGCGTCATGAAAAAAAGGGGCTTGGGGGGGGGGGATAGTTTGACAAACTTAACTATTCATAATGATTCATATCGGTATTTATTCTGTAAAGTAACGGTTTCTGAAAAGCATGAGGAAAGCCAAGAAGCCGATCACACATCACGCTTTCCATCAGCTCTACTGGTGACTTGCCACGGCCTCCATCAACTCTACTGGTGACTTGCCACGGCCTCCATCAACTCTACTGGTGACTTGCCCCGGCCTCCATCAACTCTACTGGTGACTTGCCACGGCCTCCATCAACTCTACTGGTGACTTGCCACGGCCTCCATCAACTCTACTGGTGACTTGCCACGGCCTCCATCAACTCTACTGGTGACTTGCCACGGCCTCCATCAACTCTACTGGTGACTTGCCCCGGCCTCCATCAACTCTACTGGTGACTTGCCACGGCCTCCATCAACTCCACTGGTCACTTGCCACGGCCTCCATCAACTCCACTGGTCACTTGCCACGGCCTCCACCTTCCATGGCCTCCATCAACTCTACTGGTGACGGTCATTGCGCGCGTACACGGGGGTCATGCCCCGTATATCTCTATTATAGGAATATCAAGAACTAGGCCCACATTATTAGTTGATATTATACACAGCAGGCATCCGAAGGCGCGCGCACATACCCCAACATTAATGGTCACGTCAAACATAGTTAGATTAGGGTGGCCAAATCATGATTTGGAAAAAACGGGACGCTTTCAAGGACAGTTGTTTTGTTGGTTTTTTGGGGGGCGGGCGGGGGAAATACCCTCCAGTTAAAGAGGGGTCCGGGGACCTCGGTCGGGAACTGTTTATTGAAATATGCTCATTTTAATTATGAAATCTAACTTAGAAATCTACTTGGGGCACTCAGGCTTTTCCTATGTTTCACAGATGTGATGTGTTGTTTTATGTCTGAACGTCCACCATGACCAATACTAAAAACATCATTGCAAACTGTGCACACGGCTTCACTTTCATAGCGTCCCTTTTTATATAGTTCCACTCTTTGGAATACTCATCCATAAACTTACATTGACGCTTGGGCATAATTATTGTTTACTTGAGAAGAAAATATAAAATTAAAGAATTACGTTCAACACCCAAAACAAACACCTGTCACTCTTACACGAACAGGCCGATAGGGACCACGCATAAGACTAACACATTACACGTAGCGATCGTGGAATCAAAATTGTTTTCTCCACAGTTACAACCCCCCCCCCCCTTTTTTTTTTGCGGCTTCAAGTCTCGTGTCTTTCGCTATACATTTACATATAAGATCTATGGCAGGGACACGTGGTGGAGAGGGAACGGTGCAGCCATCACTTGTCCATATCACTACTGGCATTGGCTACACAGCTAGCCCACATCACTACTGGCACTGGATACACAGCTAGCCATAATATTATTTGAAGTTATAATTTAAATTAGAAATTTTTAGTGATTAGAAAACCGTCGGGCCGAGACCGAGCACTGTGAGGTCGACGCTCAGCATCACTGGCTCGGTGGTGTTACATGGGATATTGCCTCTTCGCAGCGTGACGGACCAGTAGGGAGGTTTCCTCCTGAAGCCAAAAAATCCCGGACAAACGCATGACTTCCAACGCAACGGAAGTTGCGCGCTAACATGATGACGAGTCGCCGATAATGGATATGAGGCTTGGGTTTTCTAAACCCTTGCTGAGGATTAAAAACATGCGGCCTTGAGAAAGCCGCTCCTAGGTGACCGTTTCGTCTCGACACAGTCCCGTCCGAACTACTCCCGGAGCGGTGGGGTGAGGTAACGCAACACCTTCCCCGGAGAGGAAGCAAAGCCGTTCTGACCCACGTCCGCACAACTCCCAGGAACGGTGGGAGAAAGTTTAAGCTCGAGACTACTCCCGGAGAGGAGGTAAAGCCGTGCCACACCAAGGAACGTACGGCTCCCTGGACAGTGGGGTGAGGTAACGCAACGCCATCCCCGGAGAGGAAGCAAAGCCGTTCCAAAGCAACGTCCAGACCGCATGACTCATTGGGCAAGGGGGGTGGTGACGCAAAACTGTCCCCTGATGAGTGGAAGCAAACTGTCCAACCCCCTACTCGAGACCGTGTTGCATGGCCGGAGTCCTTAGGGACTACTAGGCCATGTTTCATGGCCGAGGTCCTAAGAGATAGAATCTCGACCTCCTATGAGTATTGAACTTTATTAGTGATTAGAAAAAGTGTTTGGTTTAAAAAAAAAAGGACATTTAGGTGTCCATCTCCGTGTGTTTAACCATGCAAGGGATTCCCATGTTGGTATGTGCACCCCAACAGCACTCCGAGAGACTTTTTCGGGACAACGGGTACGATCGTGAAAAAAAACCAACGGGACAACCCCGTGTTTACGGGACGTTTGGTCACCCTAAGTTAGCTACACGCTATCCTTTAATCGCGGCTAGGCGTACCCGGGTCCCTTTAGACTAAATCCCATTCGGATGTCATTTCTGGTCGTTTATTTTAGTTAAACTGAAGAAGTAAGTTTACAAACATTTAGTCCATTCAATTATCTTTCATTTGATACTTCATTTTGTCTTACAAACCCAAAATAATATTTTAAATAGTTTTTTTTTTTATCCCAACTTCTCACTTCCGATACCCGGGTGCGAATAGTCGCAGCCTTATAAATGTACAGTGAACCTTCTAAACGAATGGCAACTATAAGCCTCGGCCTTATAAATGTACAGTGAACCTTCTAAACGAATGGCAATTATAAGCCTCGGCCTTATAAATGTACAGTGAACCTTCTAAACGAATGGGAACTATACGCCTCAGGATTATTTTAAGCATTTTGCCATCAAAAAAATTCAAGGAAACCTGAATTTAATATAATTAGGAAAGAAACATGCAGTGCTGTCATCTAATCAATGTTAAGGAAGTGTGCGCTAAGTGTGTGTGTGGGGATGGGGTGGGGTGGGTGGGTCCGGAATACCAATATAAACAAGCGGGGTGGTGGGGGGGGGGGGTTAAGCTTCATGCAAAAGCAACCGAACATCACTGTTGGTATTTTGTGCATGGAACACAAAGGCCTTGAAGCACAGCATTAACATTTTAAGAAAGTGTGTGTGTGGGGATGGGGTGGGGTGGGTGGGTCCGGAATACCAATATAAACAAGCGGGGTGGTGGGGGGGGGGGGGTTAAGCTTCATGCAAAAGCAACCGAACATCACTGTTGGTATTTTGTGCATGGAACACAAATGCCTTGAAGCACAGCATTTACATTTTAAGGCTAGGCCTAGGTGGTAACTGCCACAGAGCCTGGGTGGTAACTGCCACAGAGACTAGGCAAATCAATGACTGTCCTTACAAATAAGAAAAACAAACACACACACACACCAAAGTATACATGACTCTAAATAATTACAGATAAACCTATCTTTTAACAGTTTACTGAGGGCTCTGTATTTTATCATAAAGGATGTTATTAAAATGTATGTCCTAATTCTTGTGATTTTCTACCGACTTTATAAAAACTTGAAAGGGAAAAAAAAAATAATTGTTCTACGCAATAAAAGATTTTGTTTAACTAAAAAAAAAATAGAGAGAAGCTAAAATAAATTGTCCGATTTTAAACAATAATAATTTCATTTATATTGAAAGACGAATACTTTCATTTCAGCACTTCGCATTTTAGCTACTGGCTTTGAAACGAATACGATACATTGGACCATTTTTATTACTATAACTAAAAGACGCCGACATTCGTCAAAAGGGAGCCATCTCCGTGTGTTTAACCCTGCAAGGGATTCCCCATGTTGGTATGTGCACCCCAGACTTTAAATATACTATCTATAGCGGGAACTATCTGGCCCACTCGCCCAAATGCTTTATTGCCAGACTACCGATAAACGTTGCTATTTCAAGCACATGTTGAGTGGCAGGTTGAGTTCAGCTCGTCTTTCATCAAAATGAAAAGTTCCACAGGTCTTTGAAACATTTTACTTTTTCGGGGCGGTGGTTGCCTTCCACAGAGAAATTCTTGTATATGTGAAGGTCAACCCCCCCCCCCCACCCCAACCCAACCACACGCTCTTATTACGATATGCAGCCATTTGTTTACAACACCTATTACCGGCGGTCTTGGAACTGCTGGTCTAGATGTGCTGGTGTGCCATTCAGTCTGCTGCATGCCACTACTCTCGTCCTACCCGATCAATACATCGGGATCTAACACTAACCACAAGTACGGAGGACAATACCCTTGTTCACAAACTATCGATTCATTTTCTCGTCCATGTTAGGGGGTGACTAACAATAATGGATCTCCGAGCTAGCACCGAGGATTGCCGTTAGCAAAAGGTGGCATCTCCCTCCACCCGGTAAACGTAACACGTCGTTTCATCGACGTGATGGCAGTCGGGTGGGTTCCACTGCATGCCGGCTTTCATAAGTAACAAAGCTGTGCATGTTAGGTGCGCACTGATATGGATGAGTCTAGCCCTGGGTAAACCTAGACTTGGCAACCAGACAGCGTTTTTTTTTCTACACACACAAATCCAAGCAACAACAGTGGGCAGCATTTACCGCGGTAGCGTAGCTATCTTTCTCTCCTTAGCCGCCCTTTACCGCTAACTCTTCTTTTATCTCAACATAATACAGTAACCACGGAGCGCACACTTGGGAAATGGATTTGAAGGTGTGTTTTTTCGAGCATGCGCTGTAAGATAGAGAACGCCTGCATTGACACTAGTGTTGTGCTACGTGTGTATGGGAGGCCCAATGACTAGCGTGCTATATTGGTATTATTACAACTGAAGCTCTATGACGTCTATGAACCCAACTGTGAAATTCTTCCATAACCTCGTGGTATGCACCAGAGAACAGGTCGAGTTGAACGATCGTGGCACACTATTGGAGATGCCATTAATTTTCCACAAAAAAAAAAATATATATTCTCAACGAAAGAGGCTTCTTGAAAAGAAAAAAAAAAATGTTGCGGTATACAGCATGAAATAAAACGTTTCATTTATTCAGACTAAACAAAGTGCTGGTGGTATCAGAGACTAAACAAAGTGCTGCTGGTATCAGAGACTAAACAAAGAGCTGCTGGTATCAGAGACTAAACAAAGTGCTGGTGGTATCAGAGACTAAACAAAGTGCTGCTGGTATCAGAGACTAAACAAAGTGCTGCTGGTATCAGAGACTAAACAAAGAGCTGCTGGTATCAGAGACTAAACAAAGTGCTGCTGGTATCAGAGACTAAACAAAGTGCTGCTGGTATCAGAGACTAAATTTAGTTCACCAAAGACAACTTCCTTCATTCAATTATATATGCTAAGATATTATTATAATGTAAAGTGAAATTTTGGCTTCCCTTCCATAAAATAAAAAAGCATATTTCCACTTTACAGTTCACACTGCCATTTTTTCTTCTAAAAAGTCATTTGAAGTTTCTCTAATGAGGAAATCCAATATTGGGTTGACTAAAAATGCGCCTTCATCACACACGATGTTTGTTTTTTTTGGTTGCTTTCGTTGTTGTTTTTTCCATCTTGATTCTGGTTTCCACCCTAACATTAACATATAATTCATAGTAGTTTTTCACCCCAACATTAACATGTGATTCATGTTCGGTTTTCACCCTTACATTAACATATGACTCATATTCGTTTCCCCCCTAATAAGATTCACATTCGTTTTTCACTCTAATATTAACATAAGATTCTTATTTCACAGTTAATATCAACATAACGGGTCAAATAGCAAGAACTGACAAGTCGACAGAACTCAAAACATATATGAATTAATTTGTTTAAATTTAATAATGAGATTCTGCCCAGATTTTGCAATATCCCAGAAGGCTTCTCGTTACTGTATAAGCATAAAAATAATGACTATATAATGAATGGAGTTAATCCAAGCCTGGTGTGGCAGAGAAGACTTTTTTTAAAACACAGCTAGCCCCCATCACAGATGAGCTGGTGCAAACGATGACATGACTATGTTAAAACACAGCTAGCCCCCATCACAGATGAGCTGGTGCAAACGATGACATGACTATGTTAAAAAACTGATCCACCAAAGCATGGTTAACATATGATACAATCAGTACGCAAGGTGGCGCCCTAGACCAAAAACTAATTACAATTAATCGTGTTGTTACATAGTGTTAAATTTAGTTGGTACGACCAAGAGGGATTCCCAAACTAAAATATGCGTCATTCGTCAATTCCAGAAACTCATCTTAAACCTAATGGGAATTCTCTACAATTGTGGACGTGTAAGGCCAAAAGTGTTTCGGAACCAATTAAAAGCCCTGTATTTAACGTATAAAAATATTGGTCAAATTTTTGCTGAAGCAATGTTCGATGTTGTTGCGTCCAATTTAAAACGCTTTGATTGTTTGCGATAATGGTCGACTTAGTTCGACGGTGCATCTCTTAAGATCCTTGGTGTAGCTTCGTTAGCCAAAGTTCAAGTTTCTCATTGAGGCCGTTTTGTGGGTGCATGTTAGTGAATTCTAATTCCAACCTTGAATTTTCTATTGAGCCCATTCAGGTATTCACACAAGAAGTCAGAAGTGCAGGCTTAGCCAGCCAGTGATCATATTCCAGAAGCTAGTACTGTTGGTGCGTGTTTCGATGAAAAAGGAATGAACTGACCTCAAGCAATTTAGCAACAACCTTACTTAGGGATAACCAACGAATTTCGGGGTCAAATAATAAGGATTTAAATCACGATCCCATTTCCTTACAGTTTTTGTCAAAGGTTCTTGAAATGTAAGGCTTTTGTTTTAATTATGTTTATGATATTGACAAATTCGATCATATAAATGTATTCATCTTTGTAATACTGTTTCCTGGTAGCCGCTTTTTAAAAAGTATACATCAGCTTGTATCTATGTAATTGGAAAGTTAGATGAAAGATCTTTGGTACACTCAGTATAGGGCTTGTTTGGATTTGTTTCATTTATTGGTGATGAAATGATACATATTTAGTGTACACCGTTGTTTGAACAACCAGCAAAAGACACCTAGTTTTTTGACTTATATAAAAAGTACGGGGCATATTTTACCCGTAGTTTCAGATAGATGGTGACTTGTCCTGTGACCAGCTAAATTTAAACGTACAGATGTGTTCCGCTAGTTGACCTCAAACGTTTGGCGGCTAGTTGTTTGGCTAATCATTGTCCCCTTTTCTCCCCGGCAAATTTTTATCTTCTTATATTTGTGTCCATCCTCTTTTGCAAGATTATTGCTGCGGAACACCTAGCATCGCCTCGCGGCGCACTGGTTGCGGAGCTCTGTTCTAAATGATATGACTAATTCGTAAAGATCCCAGCGTACTCAATGGGATATTAGATGAGAACATATGACTGTGCTAGTTAATTGACCGATTGCCACCACGCCCATCCCTACCTCTCAATGCTACAAGGAGCGCATGACATTAATTATTCACACACAACGAATTACAGAGGCAATCAAACCTAAATAACATGGCCGGTTATTCAGCTGGCCACAGCGGGCACGGTTTAAAAAAGTTAACTGCTCTTCTTCGTTTAGTCACAGTGAACAAGCTTCACATAAATTACAATACAACTTGCATGGCGTAGTACATCTAACACCTTGCTTCAAGCATTAAAACAAGTCTACGAATGAATCATCATACAGATCTCTTTATGAGACGAAGGGTCCACTAAAAAGAACTAAATGTCCTCATTGCTTATTCTCCCCCAAAGCAAACTGAAAAGCTCATGATCCCATACGTCAAATTTTTATTACCCCCTTTCCCCCATTCCTACACATAAATATGATTAAATGAATAATTAGGAGCAGTTTCCCAAACAATAAAAGCATAGATAAAGGCATATAACAATAAAGATCGCTGTACAATTTAAAGAATTTGATGGGTAGACGATGATGGAGAAATAAGCAAAACCACACAAAAGCCGGTAGAAAGACAAAAAGTAAACAAAATACAAATCAGTGGCCATATCCCGGTAATAATGGACCGTCAAACCAAGCATACCAAACATTTCACAGTTGCCCCCCCCCCCCCCCCCCCCCCCCCCCCCCCCCCGCCGCCCCACTTATTTTGTTTACAACATGGTGTCTGGGTAAACTCAGAAATCAAGTGTATTTTGTATCTATTGTTGTTATTTTATAATAACCCGCTGGTGGTCGAGAGGGGAGCTCACCATTTCAGAACAAGGTTCCTCGAATGGTCTGAGATGAAGGCAAATAATTGAACGTATGAAAACATTTTGAACTCTATGCCAGTTAACATCAGCCGGTGGCTGAAATCAGCTGTGTATAAGACAGCGTCCAACATTCAACACAATGGAATGCCTCCGTTAACAAATACTTTCATTTAAATTTCGATTGATTGCAAGAATTACACATTTTATTATTCAGATGTACTTGTCCAAATACATTATCTTAACAAACGATATCGCAATTTAATCTTCATCCATAATCTCCCACTTGAGTCCACATATTGTGAGCTATTGTCTATAACTCAAACTGCTGGTCCGTATCACGACTTAATAAATAAATCCATGAGATTTCAAATGACCGGTGGTAAGTGCGTTTTGAGCTGTCAACCTAGCCCAAGTTAGCGTTTCTTACAGTAGTTTTTGTTTATCAGGAGTACCGGTACATCTAATTTCTTATACTTTCATTTATAAGAAGTACCGGTACATCCAATTTCTTACAGTTTTTTTTTTCCCCCCATGAGTAACGGTACATCTAACAACGTGAAATGTATTTTTACCCTCAATTTAGCAAGTGGGTGTGTTTTAATAAATGTAAACGTGTTTAATATCTAAAACTTTTTTTTTTTTTACGGATGTAAATACATTTTGGGACACATTTTTTTTTTGTTTTTTGTTAGAGGTGTATAAAGATCAGATAGCACTCCAATATAAAATCTAAAGCCCGTTTAAGTTTTATAGGGAGAATGGAATTTTTCTGTAAGAAAATCGTTCCCTCTTATCACGTGTCTTTTGAAACGCGTTTGTCTTAATGTCTAGCATTGAAAGTATCCACCAGCTTCAAGGTTAGTTTAATGAGCTCTGCTTATTATGTAACTGTGGAAAGCGACCAACTGGTTCAAACGTGTGGTTACATTGGCCGACAACACGGAAAGCTGCAAGACATTTAACAGATGATTATATGTTTAAAGAGCGGAAAGAAAGCGGGTCAATTTAGCCATATATAGTAAGCTACAAACCACTGAGAAAAATTATTGCAGCTGAACATATCATCATATGCTATATGAGTGAGTTTTTTTGTGGTTAGACGTCACGTGGGGGGGGGGGAAGCAAACTAGGCGGTCTACAAGTTATTGAAACGGCACTCCGCTTGCCATGAATAGACACAGCCAGTGGCCAGGAGAAAACTAACCCGGCATATCATTAACTTGATACACTCTGAGAATTCCTCAGTGTCTAGATCGATAACTGGTCGGGCATTCATTGTTAAGAGTATAATAAAGGTTGAAAAAGAAAAAAATACCACCATGCATGCCATGCCATCAAACAGAAATGATAAAAAGTCACTAAATAACAGAGCAAAGGTCCTGAAAGAAACATCGAACGAGTGTCATGAATAGTCAGGCAACATTCAACAACTTGATCAACACTTACAAAACGTTGGGGAATTGGCTGCGACAGGAGAGGCATCTTTTGGCTCTGTTCACATACATACAACGGGGACATAAGATCAGCATAGCAAAAAAACATGTTTATATAATATTACAAATCTGGCAGACGATGCCGGATAAAGTGGCAGATCACAGGTGACCAGCCGAGAAAATTGGAACTTCACCTCCCCAGTGTCCAGTAGAATGAAAAGTTATACAAAATAGATCCCTGACTATGGTATTGAACCCACTCTATAAGTTTCAAACAAGCGGCCTCCCATATATTGTTAATGGCATCTAACATTATTTGTTCCCAAATGTAAAAATCATTATTATTTTTTTTACTAATAATATTAAATTATACATCCTGATATAGCATCTTTACATAAGCTTCTTTATATAAAAAAAAAATATTTTCTCAAGATGAAGTATTGTTTGGAACTTATAAAAAGAAAACCTCACAAGCTGAGGCCCAGTTTCTAAGTCATGTCCAAAATATCAACAAAATGAACGGGATAATAGTTTTGCCAGGCTGATACATATTTCATTGAACATAAATACTATTTCATTAATACATGTCAAGTCCACACTTAAGGAACAATACTGCTTTTACAGAAAGGGGTTGGGGGGGGGGGGGGCCTTAGGGGTAATTTATTGGACTGAAAATGGGGAAAAAAACCTGGGTACAAAAAGGGCGAGTCTATCTGTGAACTGTTTAGATATTTGTAATGAGTGGGTTATCAGTTGTGAGGCAAAAGGCCACACTAGGTACTAAAGTCAGTGATCACTGACCCCAATGTCTCCCTCAAACCTCATCTCCTAACAAAACCCCACTGCCTCCTTCTAATCCCCTCTTCCCACCAAACCCATTCATCATAGTCCCCCATTTCTCGGTTGGCCTGGATCTCACAGACTAATAGATAGCAGCTTGACCATGACAAATATCTGATCCAATAACAAAATCAACACAGGGGATTAAGATGTCTTTGACTCACACACGACAATTAGCTAAGACAATCATAGAATGTACCATTTATCAACTGTAAAACATGCCTCAGCGACACATAATACTAACTCTGGTCATTAGGTGGGGGACTCTTCTTTCCTACATCTAAACAAACAATAACAACTGTTGCACATTGAAGGAAGAATATAAAAAAGTTTAATAATTTAAGACACAAAGACAACCATTCCAACCAAAAACACATCTGACATTTTTTATAATAAAACTTTTCAAATTAATTTCATATCTAAAAATTTAAAAAATTATTTAAAAAAAAAGACATTTACATACCTCTGGGATCCACTCCTTTTAACCATGTTCCTATGTCAATAAAAAACAAGTTGAACAGATTAGCTTGTGGAATGGATCATTAATGGAATAACTTGAGGACACATGGATAATAGAATACAACAATCTAAGTATATATCTATCTATTCATTATAAAAATATTATATCTTAAATTACTGTTGAAAATAAAAAACCTGATATAATTAAGATTTAGTAAGCTACTGGTACTTCAAAACAAAAATAATAACAACAAAAAACAGAATTGTGAATATTTTCTTTGCTTTCATTAATATATATAAAATCATAAATATTAAAAGAACTGAATTTTAATATGCTTATAATTTGATATCAAATGCTAAACACAATTATATTATATCTTTAAATAAATGTTTAAATAATTCTCACACTTTGATAAGCACCAATGAGCTGAGGATTTGTATATAAATTTAAGGAGCCATCCATTTTAACTATTAAACATCATCCAATAGTAAACTAACATTATCAAGTTTATATTTGACCCTTTGTCATTTACATGAGAATTTATATGGTTGCATAAAGCACTATACAGCCTGCGGCCATTCAAATTTATTGGAAACATTCACTATATTATAATTTAAGAACATCTTACAATGGGTTTGAATAATTTTTTTTTTTATTTCTTTGAAATTTTCACAAATTTGATTTTTTCTCATTAAAATCTGCTGTTTTAATTGTATTATTAAAAAAACCTCTTTCAATTTTTGATTTACATTCTTCCTTTTTAATTTTTAACCTATTATGGTTGGTACATCAAAAAAAACCTTGTAAAAATTGTTACTCAATAAATTTTCAAGGAAATCTTTTTCAGAGACCAAATAATTATTTAACAGGTAACTTAACTTCTATAGCTTTAAGTGCACAAGATAAATGGTGGATTCATGCGTAGTTGCATCTGGTAACAACTGCATATTTAGAGATTGTATTAAAGTAACTTTTAAAACAAGAATAACCATTCCCACCCTTGCCCAAACCATTTATTTATTTGCCTGAAATCCTTTAAGTGGGTCAGTAAATCATCTTTATTTCTGTAAATAAATTATCTTAAGTCCCAATGGCAGGAAGTGTCAGGGATTAAGGGATGGGGTGGGCAGCATGAAAGATAATATCATTGGACTTTTTAATCATACATATAAATATTGTAAGGATAAGGGTTCTTGCTTTAGTACACAGTCATTGCAATCTAAAAGGGTTACGTTATCTAATCTTTGGAATGGGACTTATCACTGTAATCTCTGTATCATTGGGACATTACTTTCTGGAGATAGATGGTAATACAACGTACTTACATTTCACAAAACTAAAACATGAGATGTAAAATAAATTGAATAACTTATTCCAATTACAGATCATTAATAGTCTAACTTCAAGAGAAATTGCTTTAAAACTCAATACAGAATATTAAGCTATGTGGGTTACACATCAGGACTGAAAATTGCTTTAAAAAACCCAAAAAAAAACAAAAAAGATTTCAGTTTATGCTGAAAAAAGCAATTGATATTATAACTTAACACTTTATATAACATTCCCTAGTTCAGTGTTCCCTAACCTTTAGAATTGACAAGCAAGAGCCAATCCATCGTTGAAAGGATTGTTGCCCAAATGTACTTATATACTCTTTCTTTTATCATCTTAATTATGCTACCCTTAAACTGCTGTTGTCTCTCCACCCCACCCAACCTTTTCACAACTACTAAAACATGCCTCTTGACAAATTTCTTTTCCAAAAGTGGTTAATTTAAATTTAAGCACAGCATGTGAGACTTGTGTAACACATAAGCTAAACTTTATCAAGGGTTAGAGCATGAATTCATTATAAAGCAGTTTATCAGGCAATGATGGTTGTCAGGGAGAAAAGCAAAGCTAAAATAAATTAAAGAGATTATTTATTTATTCCATGCTGTTCAGGACATTTTAAAGTTAAAAAGCTTTTTAACATTGCTTGTTTGGGTATCCAATTTTTCAATTCTCTATAACAAAGCTTAGGCACATAAAAGCAAATGTTGTTCATAAAAGCAAATTTTGGAGCATGGCTATAATGTGTTACCAAGACTCCTGAAAGATCTATATATTGCAGTCCTTTGAAAATGACTCCTGTTTTTGGGGGGACGTAAAATCACATCATCTGCAGATATGTCTGAGACAATCTCATTCTTTAAATCACCTAACAAATGCATAAAATGTTATATGCATTAAGCATTTATGGATTACCGACCCATATTTAAACTGCTAGGGAGAAATCTTTCAAAACAAATTTATTAAGGGTTAAGGGAGATTGAAATACCCCCCTTTAACATATGAACAAATAGAATGACATAATGATGTTGCAGAATTTAGTATTAGCATATTAGGGAACCGCATTAATTTATGTGACATGAGTTAGAGGTTTAAATACATAAATAAAGGCGAACTAAATTAAATTTGAACCCAAATATATTAAGGCTAAAAATATAATTGGAAAAACAAAGACACTTGTTAAGTTAATGCAAGTAAAGAAGTCAGAAAATTAAAAAAAATTTGAAAGAAACTGAATGAAATCCAAGAAACTAATGAAAATTTGGAAAAAACCTGTACCGCAGATAATACTGATAACACCTGGCCTCATTTAACAAAAATATGATTTTGAATTACTAGTTTAGACTCAACTTAACCGACATTTCTCTGAGTATATACAAACCTATCAAAATAAGTTCTTAATATCTTTTAATTACTTTCTATTCAGCTTTTTAAAAAACATGGTTTTATATCTTGAAATAAGGTCACATTGCAACCAGACAATTATAATACCATGACTTCCACTAAGAAAATTTAATTTTTCCAGAGATTTAGTGATATTTAGAAGATCAACTTAATAATCTTTCAATTACCTAAATGTAAGGTTAATTTTGCAAACCAATATGTTTGAGTTTCAAATAATCTTTATGAAAAAATAGAGAGAGAAATATAATATCATAGTTGATTGATGCAATATTTAATTAATCTGTTTATATGTGTTCATTATTAGATAATTGATACCCATTTTATGTTTCATTAAAAATCATTTGACAGGTATGAGCATATACTTTTAATTGTAAAACAAAATTAAAAAAAACAAATTTAAAAACATTAACAAATGAAATGGAGATAATGATAGTTAAGTAAACCCAGAAACTAAGCAAAGTGACACCAACCACTGTAAATGGATCGGATTTAAAAGTAGCTTTTCAAATGCTGAATAAAGAAGAATGACCGATAACTTAGTTAACCACCACACCTCCTGAACAATATATGAATTACTGTAGAAAAATCATACCAACCTGCATCTGCTTCAGTGCCATAAACGGTTTTACGTGTGTAAGTTAGTGGAAAAATTCTAGAGGTATTTTTGGTTTCATTAGAATTTATGATGGTAGGACCTTCTAATGAGAAAAGGTTTACATTAAAAAATAATCTTACCCAATAATTTTAATACATAAGGTAATTCAATGCAGTAGTACATGCTTTATGTGTTTTCAAATAAAGATTGCATTATTGTCATGTAATTCCACTTTCCTAGTTTAAAAAAAAAGAAATATTAAAATCTAATTGTTAATTTAGCCCTTTGTTTATAAGAACTATCTCTGCCAATCAAAATATGAAATACAGGTACAATGGTGTACAGTAATCTCCAATTTTTTTAACAGTCAATATTTTTTAAACAAGAATTACTCTCTGAACATGCCCAACAGCTCATTGACTTGGAGCACCAAAAAATGTCATTTTTACCCACAATATTTGCAAATAGCCTGCAAATGAAAGAATAAATTTGATTGAAAGACACCACAACAAAAATTAAGGAAATGAAAAGGCAAGAGGTTAAAAATAAGTTTTATAATAAACAACAAATGAATAAGAAAGGGCATAGAGGGAAATGAAAATTATAAAAAGAGACTATGATATGGTAGGCTGGTGGCCATCAAAGGTGATTGTAATTTCACTGGACCAAAGAATAAGAATATTCCAAATGATGTGTATTATTTTGTAAAGATATATAATAAGCAAGCCAGCAGCATGGTTGAGCAGCACAAGAGAAAGTTATCCAAATAGGGCCATAAAAGTACATGAGGTATGATAGTCATGAACTTACAATGTCATACCCAATATAACTTGTATTGTGACTGTACAACTTTCAATGAATGAAACACTCATTGGTTATAATAAAGTAAATTCAATTAAAGACTTGCGGAGATAATCTGAAATGCTTTAAGGAGAAAGCAGTACATGTATGATATTAAACAGAAAAAAGATGGAGTCAGCATTAGCAAAACTGAAAGTAAAGCAAGACAAACAAAAAGTTAGACAACAATTATAGCCCAGTGCTGGTTATTGCACTTGATATGCAAAAATTCCTTTTTTTGTGAGGGCTTATCATGGTTAGTAGCAATATATAACATTTGATGGTGCATCTAATTCCAAAATGTTCCTTTCAGAGACTTTTGGTAAATAGCTGATGCAGAAGAGTCAACTTAGAAGCAGATAAGTGCTAAAATATAGTCTGGCAACATAAAAGAAATCCAGTTCTCATTATACATCCTACTTGTGTTTAGATATGCCAATAGAGTACAGTAAGATGTTGACAACTGTTGGAACTCCCATTAAATTTAAAGACTAATTGAGATTTCAGTCCATACAAAGGATTAACATTTCTCCTTAACTATGCTTTACGATGCATGGTTAACTTTTATTAAAATGTGATATATATTAATGGGAAGTGACTTTAAAATATAGCTATTTCCTTCGCATCTGTAATATGAGATAAGCATATTTAACATGCATTTTTTAAAAATAGCAAGCAAATAGAGCTTTGAATCCAGTTTAAGATCCCATTCTAATAAATTGCAAAACAGGTATAGGCAGATCTATTGAACCATACTGTACTCATGCTAACTATTTAGGATTTTGATATTAAAGAGAGAACAAATTCATACCACGTCTGAATTACATTGCAGGAAACAAGCGTTTTTCATACTAAACAATGCATCACTGGAAGTACTGAATATACAGACAGTAGGCGACATGAGTAAAAACATAATGCACTTTTCTTTTACTTAACTAAAAAATAATAAACTTTATTACTTCTCAATTGTAATATTTTGTCAATACTCTTCTGGCTAACTGTTGTTACATTGAATAAGTAAATCATAGTTGCAATATAAGTACACATTTTCTCAAGTTAGCATTGTCATGCTCATATGAATTTTCCTATATGAATAGAATGGAAATTACAATGTCAACTACTCTGTTTACTTTTTAGAGCATTTAGAATACGATAATGTATTCTGCTTTATTATTTTTTAAAGTTTAGTAACAAAAGATATTATATACATTTTGAATGTAGGTGTATATGACAAATGATTTCAAGTCAAGTAAGCCTCTTTAAAAAAAAATTCAAAATAAAATTCAATACTATGACTTAGATGCATTGTTTACAAAAATACTGTTATGGGTTACTCTATTCCTGTCACATTTTTGTTCAAGAAATTAGTTTATTAATTTTAAAGAGAAAATGATATCTGTTTTTACATATATGATTTGATAAATTATATAGTTATATGGGTAGTGGCCAGGAAACTATTTTTAAAATCATATATTTGTTGTGATTCTAAAACTAATTTTCAAAGCAATACATGGAATGATGCTGTCTTGATTCTGCTGTTGTTAGTATTTAAAAATAATTAATGGGCTCAATATTTTCCATTTATAAAAAAAATTAAGGGCAATTTAAAATGGTTAATACTTTTAATAACTCTACTGTATTTAAATTATTTATGCCATTAATTAAGCATAGTAGCTGAGGTTTAATAACTACGATAACTTTTCGTTAGGTATAAAATTTAGACATAATGATAGAATTGAATGTGATTTTAAAACAGAATCCCCCCCCCCCTCCCCCCCACTTGTTGCTTTCATTGTTCACGATGCATGTCATGCAGCTATTAACTGTTAAATTTCCCAAGGTTCAGTTTTAATTAATTATTATTTAGCTTCCTACATCTGTAATGCACTATTAGAAAGTAATATTCATTTTACATTAAAGTACTTCTCAAAATAGTTGCAATCATGTGCATTGTGAATAATGTAGACTGATTGATATCAAATTTCAAAAGGGATTATAAATACGTGAATGGAAATTATCACATTATAACTACCTAGACTTAGACAGCTATAAAAAGTTGTATATTTTCAGTACCGGTAATGAAGATTACAATAGGCCTATATATGGCATGGAATAAAAATGTTAACAGTGACCATCAGCTCTTATCTTTCAAAACTGCAAATGCTCAGAAATTAAAGCACCACAATTCTAATTTCAAAACCATCATATTGCGCCTTTTTACTCAAATTCAATCTTATTCAATAGCAAGCTGATAGACCAAAATATTATGGCTTGGAAAGGCTTTAAGTACTTGTATTATAAGAAATTATTATATTAAGATGTACTTTTGTTTAATAATAAAACTTTTTCAAACATATTTCACAAAATTCATATGATAAAGCTTTTTAAAAAGGTGTGAATGAGTTGTACAAGACGCAAATGAGTTGTAGAAAAATATATCAGTCTTGCTAATCATTTTAGTTATTTTAAAGGCTTGATATTGGACACACTGGACAACTGTTCCAAACTAGGAGCTCTATTTAGTAAAGTTAAAATTTTTTACAAATCAAGAGAAATTTTTCCATCCTATTATAATTTTAAAATGGTAGGCCTAAGCCTAAATTTTTTTTTTTTACCTAGGCCTAGATTCAGTTTTTAATAAGTTAAGCTTGAAAATTGAAATTTTATTATGAAATCGTATGTTAAACAAGATGCAGTCCTGTGTTAATAATTTATAAGTAGCATACATAAAGTCCTCTACTTTTAGTATTTTATTTTGTGGAACTGGAATGCCATGATCAAGAAATGCAATCTCAATTCTTTACCTTTAGAACTAGATGTTTCCTCTGAACTTTGTTCAGTAGATTTAACTGGTTTACTTTCTCTTTTGGGTTCAATGAAATCATCAAAAGCATCAAAAGGACGTTGTTTGCTAGAAGATGTGGGAAAAGACTCGGGGTAATGGCTAGAAGGAGGTGCGGATGTTGCAAGTGTAGTAAGAAAATCTGGATCTGTGGGATTATCATTGAATGATTCATTACTATCTGGCACTGGAGCAGATGGCTGCACCTGATAATGATCGTCCTCGATTTCATCATCATTGATTTGATTGATATCATCAACTAAGCCAAAATTAATAAGATCATTAAGGGGCTCATCATGGGAATGTGCATATGCTTCAGCTTCTGAAGCACCAATGGCATATCGATCTTCCTCAGCTTCATCCTCACCCGCTATGTCAGTTGTTGTAGAGATTTTCGCGTCTTGATTGCTGTCGAAGTCGTACGCACCTGACGAACCAACTACATTCTGATCGTCGGCATCTTCGTCCTCACCGTTGTCCTGATCGAAACCGCTGCCGGGAGGATCTAACTTTTCAAAATCATCATTTGGATATCCTGAGCTTTCAGGATGACTGTCATACAAATCTTCAGGATTTGTATCTGCCATTATTCTAAAAACCGAAGTTTAATTTGAAATAATATATCCACTTGGAGCGAGGTTAAGACAGCTGTTTACTTTATCTTTGGAATTACAGACACTACTAAGCTATCATGGCCGTTCTTTTTGTTGACGTACTTTTGAGCATGCGCAAAGAAGATGTTAATGAATCTCTCAGGGGAAACGACTGTGAAATTATGTTCTCTGAAACTGTTGCCTGCATCAAAGTTATCTCGCATTTTCAAAATCGAATCTTTCTCTAATCCACATAATGAATGTTTCCTAAAAAGCTGTAATCTATACGTGAGTCTCAGCACATGCCCCAGATTCTGATTAACAATAAAAAACAACAAGACAAATCCACCTCTCTCACAGCTAGATATTTTCACTGGCGTAAGAAGGGTGGTGCGGAGGGGGCAGTAAATTCCAGACAGACATTTTTTTCCAAAATTTTAAATTAAGGGGGCAGTTGATTCGTGGTGGAGGGGTGGCAAAAATTTTAGCCTACCTTGTGCCCACTTACCCTAGCTGCACCACTGGATGAAATGTTGAGATTGTTGGTAAAAGATAAGATAAGATTATTTTATTGATCCAAATAAATGGAAATGTTTTTTTATTGCATTATACATTTTCAGCACAAAAATAAAACAATTTGAACACAAGACATTTATAATAAATTATTTCAAACAGCCAGTTCTCTTAGTGAGTTCTCTTAGAAAAATCGGGGACTTATTAGTTCTCATTCAGATGTGTGGACTTTAGAGGAAGCACGACGGGAACAAAAGAATCTTTATATCGGTCAGTCCTCGCCCTGATGGAAAGAATTCGTCCCGAACGGCCCGATCCTAAGTATCTAGGATGAAAAGGGTGGGATGGATCATTCAAAATGTGTTTAGTTTTGCAAAAACATCTTTATTCAAATAGTTCTTCAAGTGAAGGATGTTTAGTTTTTGTTATGTGTCTAGCTTTCTTGATTAGTCGGTTTATGCGGTATTTAACATCAGACGTTGAATTCCCACACCAGCAGGTAATACTGAAAGTAAGCAAGCTTCCAATAGTTGCACTGTAGAATAATTTAATGGCTTGCTTGTTTACGCCGAAATTGTACAGTTTTTTGAGGTAGAACAGTCTTTGGTTGAATTTCTTATACAGGATTTGGCCGTGCTCATGCCATGTTAGCTTATTATTAATGGTGACACCTAAGTACTTGTACGCCTCCACTTTCTCCACATTTTGATTTTTTATGTTGAGATCTGTAATCAGGTGTTTCCCCCTCCTGAAATCAACAACCATTTCTTTTGTTTTTGAGACATTCAACTGGAGAAAATTTTCATCGCACCAATTGACAGAGGCGTAGCGTGGTGGGGGCTGGGGGGGGGACAGATGTCCCCGGGCGCCAGCTAGTTAAGGGCGCCAAAATGTGCTTTGATATTATTTTATTGATGAAAATAATGGGTTTGAGAGTTGAAAAAAAAAAAGAAAAAGGGGCGCTAAAAATGGATTTTGTCCCCGGGCGCGAATATTGTCACCCTCGCTACGCCACTGCCAATTGATAAAGCTTGTTACTAAGTTACGGTATAGGCCTTCTTCAGATATTAAGCCAACAATCGTGGTATCATCAGCAAATTTTAAGATTGGAACGGTGTTGCTTGAGCTTTGAATATCATTTGTATATATTGTATACAGTACAGGGGAGAGAACGCAGCCTTGTGGTGCCCCGGTGCTTATTTCTCTGGTTAGAGATACTTGGTTATTTACTTTGACATATTGATGTCGATTTGTTAAAAAGTTCAGTATCAAAGCCTGAATATTTAAATTGACACCTTACGAGGAAAGTTTCTTTATCATAAGGTGTGGTTGGATGGTCTTAAATGATGATGAGAAGTCTACGAAAAGCACTCTGGCGTATGTTTTAGGACTGTCTAGGTGATGGTAAAGTCTCTCCAACAATAGTAAGATTGCGTCCTCCGTAATTCTTGCAGGTTTGTAAGCAAATTGGTGGGGGTCAAGTTTTTGCTGTACTTCATTCAAAATTTCTTTCAGAATTATTTTCTCAAAACATTTCATGACAATAGAGGTAAGTGCAACAGGTCGTAAGTCGTTGTTGAACGTTACCTTAATTTTCTTTGGAATTGGTATGATTTCTGAAGTTTTCCATATTGCTGGTATTGTGTGAGTTACATAAGATTTATTAAATATGTAACAAAAAATGTAGGAGAGCTGCTCTGAACATAGTTTAATGAGCCGACCACTTGATTTGTCTGGTCCCGAGGCCTTGGCTGCGTCCACTTGTTTAAATAATGACATCACTCTCTGTTCGGTAAACAATAAACTACCATCCTTTGTACTGCTGCCATCTTGAAATGAATTCATCATCTCATTGTGCACACTTCCAAAGTCCAGGCTGTCAAAACGACAATAAATGTAATTTAAGTCGTTAACAAAATTCCTGACGTCCTCAACACATAAGCATTCTCGCTTAGGAGTATATCCTGTCATTTGCCAGAGTCCTGCCCAACAAGCCTTTGAATTATTAGTAGTGAATAATTTTTCGATTTTTTGCTTGTATTGTTTTTTCCCCTGATATATTTTTTCTTTCAATACTTTTTTAGCTTTAATGAATTCCTGATCGTTAATCTTAAACATGATCTTCTTATGGTGGATGGCCTCCTTTATTTCTCTGCTCATCCCGGGTTTGTTGTTGAATACTTGGATTGTTTTTTGGGGAATAATTTCGTCTACACAGAACTTAATGTAGGAATTGACGGTGTTTGTTAGATGGTCAATGTCCGAGCAAGTGTTAATAAACGCGTCACAGTCTGTACATCCATGCATGGGAAATAATTTTTTAAAGCATAAACATCAAAGTCGCATCGTGGGTCATTATTAATTTGGCGTTACTTTTGCAAAGTTTTTCTACCATTTCTTTCGGTTTTTCAAATATTTTGCTGAGATTAAACACGGTCTTTTAAATTCATCTTCTTAATTCCAGATCAGTTTTCAAACAAATGAGCGTTTAAAAAAACTAATTATTGAAATAATTGACTTATTTTACTCTTAACACAAGCGAAATCATGAAAAGCGATGTATATTTTTTTAAATTTGAAAACCAAAAATTTTAAAATCTCGCTTTACATAAATCCAATCCTAGTACATAATATTGAAGCATTCGTTTTTGTTCGTAATTCGGTATCTTTGAGAGTCATAATCCCAGGTTGTGGTTAAATTTTTTTTATTAAATATGAAAAATTGAGAGATTACAAAAATCACATAATAGATTCTCATTTTGATTATAGGTATTTGAGGATATATCCTGCTACCGCTGCTTACATGACATGGCGCCGTCCTATCTTAAAGAGCTGCTGACGCCTTATGTACCCACTAGACAACACCGCTCATCCGACAGTGGCAAACTCTCGACACCACGTGTTCGCCCTGAGACTTACGGAAAGCGTGCTTTCGCATTTGCTGGCCCAACTATTTGGAACGCCCATCCTGTCGCTCTCAGAAACAACCAGACACTGGAGTCCTTTAAAACCGATTTAAAGACACATCTATTTCGCAAACACCTTCTGTGATGATGGTGTCTACCATATTTTCCAGTTAATGCATATTGGCTGTGTTGCTTAGGGTTGAAATGGGTAGAAAGACTATGACTTGGTATTCTTGCAATTAGTTTTTGTAGTGTTTCGTTTGTTTTGATGTGGTAAATTATAGATTTTTTAAAATATGGTTGACTTTGTACCGCGCTTCGAGACTTTGGGATGAAGCGTGTTTTTCAAATAAACTTTATTATTATTATTATGATTTGCCAGTCAACAAATTATGTGTTCTTCTGACAAGTTTGCCGTAGTGCCTGCGTGACAGTTCATTGGCAGAAATTAAGGCATAAATGCTTCCAATTTGTTTCCAGATAATAATAATAAATTTTATTTCAAAAACCCTATATGACTATTTATATTTTTTCACATTAAAAAACAAAACGCAGCAATACAAAATCTGCATACAAGCTAATAGACAATACAAGTCAATATACATCAAGGAATATGGGAAAGCTGAAAGCAAGGAAGTAGACAAGATAAAGTTCTTTCAATTGCATTTTCATAAATTTAAGCTTCAAGAAACTTCGTTCGCATGAAACTCGTGATATTGCGAGATTCAATAAATATTTATAACAAGTAAATAATGCTGAACATGCATTCTGGATATAAATTATACCTTGTCATTATAACAGCACAAGTTACAATTATCTTACAAGTGGTGTCTATTGATGTCTTCTTTGGTGACGTTTGGTGTGCACAAACTCTGAATTCATAGTCCAATCATACCCACAGCTCACTTTCGCCCCATGTCCACTAAAACTAAACTGGTTCATCCCGTCCGTAAAGACATAAACAAAAACAAACCAAAAAAAAAACAAAAAATGATGACACGCCAGAAATGTTCACGTCTGCGACCTTTAACAAATATAAAACTGCGCTTAATTGCAAAACTCGGTAATTCTAGTACGCACGGCAGGTTCTCACTATTGTTTTCAAGTCACGACCAGATTTAAATAGAAGCAAAGTGACCCTTACCACGATATACTGGAGGAAAAAAGGCTTTCAGATAGGGTAAATTCTTGGAAAGGAAAACATTTTAAACTTCATTTATTTTCCAGTATATTACTGGTAGCAAGTGACCAACAGTTAGCAAGTGACCAACTGGTAGCAGGTGACCAACTGGTAGCAAGTGACCAAGTGGTAGCAAATGACCAAGTGGTAGCAAGTGACTAATTAGTAGCAAGTGACCCACTGGTAGCAAGTGACCAACTGGTAGCAAGTGACCAACTAGTTAGCAAGTAACCAACTGGTAGCAAGTGACCAACTAGTAGCAAGTGAACAACTGGTAGCAAGTGACCAACTAGTAGCAAGTGACCAACTGGTAGCAAGTGACCAACTGGTAGCAAGTGACCAACTGGTAGCAAGTGACCAACTGGTAGCAAGTGACCAACTGGTAGCAAGTGACCAACTGGTAGCAAGTGACCAACTGGAAAGTGACAAACTGGGAGCAAGTGACCAACTGGTAGCAAGTGACCAACTGGTAGCAAGTGACCAACTAGTAGCAAGTGACCAACTAGTAGCAAGTGACCAACTGGTAGCAAGGGACCAACTGGGAGCAAATGAC